CCTAAAGTGATCTGCCTGTCTTGGTGCCGTGGCTCCCGCCTGTAATCTCAACACTTTGGGAAGCTGAGGTGGGTGCATCACTTCTGGTTGGGAGTTTGAGACCAGCCTGGTCGACACGGTAAAACCCCATCTTCACTAAAAATACAAAAATTAGCCAGGCATGGTGGCAGGTGCCTGTCATCCCAGCTACTTGGGAAGCTGAGGCAGGAGAATCGCTTGAACCCGGGAGGCAGAGGTTGTAGTTGGCTGAGATCTTGCCATTACACTCCAGCCTGGGCGACAGAGTGGTACTCCGTCTCAAAACAAAACAAAAACAAAAACAAAAACACAGGGAGGGAATTGTTTTGACACCAGTCTTTGGCTAATGATGAAACTGTCTCCCTTCCTGGCTGTCCTGGCATGATCGTTATAGTCTGAGGCACAATGGTGAGAGCAAACTGAAGAGGGAGCCAAAGTGAGGTACTCAGAGTAGGATCCTTCTTTCCTGGAGAACTGTGGTAGCCCAGGCTGTGTATGTAGCTGAACAAGCAAGACTGAATCACAATAGGTTTCTAGATCTTCTATTAGGAGGAGGACCTGCTACACCCAGTGGAGCAGGTTACACCAGTTATATATGCAAAATGTAGGATAAACTAAAAGGGCACAGAGCCAGGGGAGAAACAATGGGATGAGACCATTCTAGAATCTCATCCCATTGGTTCATTGCTGGGTGTGGTGGCTCACACCTATAATCCCAGCACTTTGGGAGGCTGAGATGGGAGGATAGCCTGAGGCCAGGAGTTTGAGACCAGCCTGGTAAACATAGGGAGACCCCATCTCTCTAAAAATAAAAATAAAAAAAGTGTGGTTCATGAACCAGCAGCATCTGCATTAACCAACTTATTGAAATGCAGAATCACAGGCCCCACGCCAGACTTCCTAAATCATAATCTGCAATTTAACAAGTTTCCTAGGTGATATGTATGCACACTTATGTTTGAAAAGCACTAAGATTTCTTGATGAAGGAGGGCTTGAAAGGCAATGATGGATGTGAAAGGAAAGGTGAAGAGAAGCCTCAGGTAGTCAAGGAACAAGGTCGGTTGGAGAGAGAGTCCCGAGGGTTTATCTTTGAATACCCTGTACTGAATGAGCTCGGAAACATAAAGATAGTTAACATAGGAGGGCCTGAAGTCTCCAGATAAAAGGCTGCTGCCACTATCACTTACCACCACCTCTGCCATTCTCCACTCTATCATCATCTGCCCCAGTCTCCATTCCAGGACTTCTCTACACTTTGACTTTTTTTTTTTTTTTTTTTTAATTTTTTTTTGAGACGGAATCTCACTCTGTCGCCCAGGCTGGAGTTGCCCTGGCGCCATCTGGGCTCACCGCAACCTCCGCTTCCTGGGTTCATGCGATTCTCCTGCCTCAGCCTCCGAGTAGCTGAGATTACAGGCGTGCCTTACGCCAGGCAAATTTTTTTTTTTTTTTTAATTTTAGTAGAGACTGGATTTCACCATGTTGTCCAGGCTGGTCTCCAACTCCTGACCTCAAGTGATCCCCTCCCCACCCCCCGCCGCCTGGGATTACCGTCGTGCGCCACAATGCCCGGCTCTTTTTTTTTTTTTTTTTTTTTTGAGAGGGAGTCTTGCTCTGTCGCCAGGCTAGATTGCAGTGGCACGATCTTGGCTCACTGCAACCTCCGACTCCCTGGTTCAAGCAATTCTCCCACCCCAGCATAGCTGGGATTACAGGCACACTTCACTGTCAGGCCTCTGAGCCCAAGCTAAGCCATCATACCCCCTGTGACTACACGTATACCCAGATGGCCTGAAGTAACTGGAAAATCACAAAAGAAGTGAAAATGGCCTGTTTCTGCCTTAACTGATGACATTACCTTGTGAAATTTCTTCTCCTGGCTCATCCTGGCTCAAAAGCTCCCCCACTGAGCACCTTGTGACCCCCACCCCTGCCCGCCAGAGAACAACCCCCTTTGACGGTAATTTTCCTTTACCTACTCAAATCCTATAAAACGGCCCCACCCCTATCTCCCTTCGCTGACTCTCTTTTCGGACTCAGCCCGCCTGCACCCAGGTGATTAAAAAGCTTTATTGGTCCCACAAAGCCTGTTTGGTGGTCTCTTCACACGGACGCGAGTGAAAGCCACCACGCCCAGGTAATTTTTTGTGTTTTTAGTTGAGACAAGATTTCACCATGTTGGCCAGGATGGTCTCGATCTCCTGACCTAGTGATCCGCCCACCTCGGCCTCCCAGAGTCTCAGTCGCCCAGGCTGGAGTGCAATGGCGCGATCTCAGCTCACTGCAACCTCTGCCTCCCAGGTAAGCCATTCTCCTGCCTCAGTCACCCAGGTAGCTCGCATACAGGCGCCCGCCACCATGCCCGGCTAATTTTTGTATTTTTAGTAGAGACGGGGTTTCACCATTTTGGCCAGGCTGTTCTTGAACTCCTGACCTCAAGTGATCCGCCCGCCTCGGCCTCCCAAACTGCTGGGATTACAGGCGTGAGCCACCACGCCCGGACCACCTTTTTTTTTTTTTTTTTTTGAGACGGAGTCTGGAGTCTCCCTCTGTCGCCCAGGCTGGAGTACAACGGTGTGATCTGGGCTCACTGCAACTTCTGCCTCCCGAGTTCAAGCTATGCTCCTGTCTCAGCCTCCTGAGTAGTTGGGATTACAGGCGCGCGCCACCATGACCTACTAATTTTTGTATTTTTAGTAGAGACAGGGTCTCACCATGTTGGCCCACTTTGATTCTGGCCTGGCCAGCCCGACCTCGCCAAATTCTGTTCGATTCTGCCTAGTTCTGTTGCTCTGGCCTAGTTCAGTTGCTCAGTTGCTAAGGCCTAGAGCTTCATGGTTGCGGAGGAAATGATGTCACGTTCAATAGGCGGGCTAACCAGTTCCTCCCTCCTCCCGATTGGCTGCCAGGAATTGACTAGATTCAGAGTCTCGCGAACTCCGGGGTTAGTCGTCAGTATCTTTCCCAGTTGTTCCGCCCCCCCCACCCCCGCCCCCCTCCACTCTCCGGCTGCCCTCTCCACGTGGGGCAAGGCTCCGAGGGCAGTATTCAGTAACCATTTAGCTTTGGAAGGAGAGGTGATTCCCGTGGCCCGGCTCCTCCTGCCACCATGCTAGCCACTTTGGCCGCGCAGGTACTTATTGACCCGACCGGGTGTCCGTAGTTGGCGCGGCTACCTTAACCGCAGGGAATTGTGGAATATATAGTTCTAAGTTATATATGGGTGGAACGGGGAAGCTCGAGCAGATTTTTGGAGGAAAGTAATATTGGGGACTTTGAGGACTGGGGGCCTGGGTCTCAGAAGAATGGGAAAGGATGAGAAAGGAGTCTAAATAAGAGCCCTGCTATTAGCATTGTTTGGTTTTCTTTTCAGGTGCTGACCTGAACCTGATTCATCCCTTTCTGACCAAAACTGTTCACTCATGGTGGAAGGGACCAAGCATTCAAATGGAGACGCCAGCAGTCAGTACAACTGGAGAAAAGGACACCTCTCAGCCGCAACAACAGTGGGAAAAGAACCTTCGGGAGAACTTTGATTCAGTTACTCAGATTAGGCAGCAGCCCCGAGACCCTCCTACCGAAGCACTTGAGCTGGGAGTAAGCCCAGATCCAGCCAGCCAAATTCTGGAGAATACTCAAGGAACTGAAAAACTGGTTGCTGAACTTGAAGGAGACTCTCATAAGTCTCATGGATCAACCAGTCAGATGCCAGAGGCCCTTCAAGCTTCTGATCTCTGGTACTGTCCCGACGGGAGCTTTGTCAAGAAGATCATAATCCGTGGCCATGGCTTGGACAAACCCAAACTAGGCTCCTGCTGCCGGGTACTGGCTTTGGGGTTTCCTTTCGGATCAGGGCCGCCAGAGGGCTGGACAGAGCTAACAATGGGCGTAGGGCCATGGAGGGAGGAGACTTGGGGGGAGCTCATAGAGAAATGCTTGGAGTCCATGTGTCAAGGTGAAGAAGCAGAGCTTCAGCTGCCTGGGCACTCTGGACCTCCTGTCAGGCTCACACTGGCGTCCTTCACTCAAGGCCGGGACTCTTGGGAGCTGGAGACTAGCGAGAAGGAAGCGCTGGCCAGGGAAGAACGTGCAAGGGGCACAGAACTATTTCGAGCTGGGAACGCTGAAGGAGCTGCCCGATGCTATGGACGGGCTCTTCGGCTGCTGCTGACTTTACCCCCACCTGGCCCTCCAGAACGAACTGTCCTTCATGCCAATCTGGCTGCCTGTCAGTTGTTGCTAGGGCAGCCTCAGTTGGCAGCCCGGAGCTGTGACCGGGTGTTGGAGCGAGAGCCTGGCCATTTAAAGGCCTTATACCGAAGGGGGGTTGCCCAGGCTGCCCTTGGGAACCTGGAAAAAGCAACTGCTGACCTCAAGAAGGTGCTGGCGATAGATCCCAAAAACCGGGCAGCCCAAGAGGAACTGGGGAAGGTGGTCATTCAGGGGAAGAAGCAGGATGCTGGGCTGGCTCAGGGTCTGCGCAAGATGTTTGGCTGATTAAAAGTTAAACCTTAAAAGAGACAGGAACTTGTGAATTGTCGTCTGTGCTGTGAGATTTGGGGGTAGGGGGCCAGAGGGAAGGTTTCAGCCCATATCCCATTCTCAGCTTTTGGCTTCCTAGAGGAGGTAGCAGTGGTCCCACTGCGCCCCTTTTGAGGGACTTAGCTATCTCCGAAGACACACAGAAGCTGTCTAAACTAAACTTAGTGGCTGGGGGAGATGGTGGACCTTAATACTGGGTACTACATCTCCCAGGCTCTTTATCACTGGAGCCTGTTTGGCGCATGCGCTTGGGGGTCTGGCACTGTCTGGAAGTTACTTCCTGCTGCAGTGCTCCCATTGGGCCCGCCTACACAGCCATCCGCGTCTGTTGATTCACGTGCTCAGCATCCAGGTCTCTTACTGGTCGATAGGGCTTCCGGGACGCCCCCTTTTTTAAAAGAGTCAACTGATTAGTTGGTAATGGGGAGAGGCGGGCCTTGGGAACCGTCTCATGGTTGGGGGGTGGGGGGGAAAGATGGCGGAGCTGATGCTCCTCAGCGAGATTGCCGACCCGACGCGTTTCTTCGCCGACAACCTGCTGAGCCCGGAGGACTGGGGTCTGCAGAGTGAGGCCCCGGGGAGGGGAGGGGGCTATGGCAAACTGTGTCCCTGAGGCACGCGGGAAAGAAGCAAAGGCCTAAAGAGGAAGTCTGGGCAAATACAGAATCCGCCATCTGAGGGAGGGCGGAGCAGGGGGATCGTTGTGCATTAAGGGGCTACAAAAGTCGGGGAAGAACTGCTCCCTGCTGGAACGTCGAGTTGTTCCGGGGTCGGAGAAGGAGGGGCTGAAGTCCTCTGGTTGTATCACTTTTCAAGTGGGCGGGCGGTGGGTCTGGCCGAGCGGAGCCAATGAGGGATGGGGCGGGGGCTTGTGTGCGATCTGTAGGCTGGGCCCACCGAACGACCCCACTGACACTCAGCATTCCTTGCAGACAGCACCTTGTATTCTGGCCTAGATGAAGTGGCCGAGGAGCAGACGCAGCTCTTCCGTTGCCCCGAGCAGGATGTCCCGGTATTGTGTCCCCAGCCTTTCTCTAACCCTTGGTGGGTGGAAAGTGAGCCCAGAACCTGGACTCATTCACAGGCCAGAGCTCATCTGGAGTCACCCCTACTTTCTCACCCTTTCTCACACTCCTGTCCTCTTATATCCTCCGTTATTTAGTTTGACGGCAGCTCCCTGGACGTGGGGATGGATGTCAGCCCCCCTGAGCCCCCATGGGAACTCCTGCCGATCTTGCCAGGTAAGGTAGACTTTGTGGTTCCCTCAGCTTTCCAGAAACCCTCATTTCCCACTGTTTCCCAGAAACTACGTAGCTTCCTATATTCTCACACCTCTACGTAAGTGCCTATCCTCTCTCCTTCAATCCCCAATTTTTGTTTCTTCTCCCTTGCTGTGGTGCGGGAATCCCCACAGACATGTCCTTGGGTACTTTTTGGACTCTTCTCAAGCTCTGCTTCCTGATAATTTCTAACTCCCTTTCCTCCAGATCTTCAGGTGAAGTCTGAGCCGTCTTCCCCCTGCTCTTCCTCCTCCCGCAGCTCCGAGTCATCACATCTCTCCACAGAGCCCTCCAGCGAGGTGAGAGAGCCATATCCCGACTACTCTCTGTGGCAGGGACTCTATTTCATTCCCTTCACCCGTGGGTGACAAAGAAATGATTTAAATGATTTGTGTGCTGTGAGTCATGAGGTGTGTGAGGTGTGGGGGGCCTTCTCCACTACCTTTGCCATTTCCTTAATATCCTCATTTTCCACATCCCTTTTGGTTATCTAGCAGTGAAGATGTTTTTTGTTTTTTCTTTTTTTTTTGAGATAGGGCCTCCCTCTGTCACCCAAACTACAGTGTAGTGACATGGTCACGACTTACTGTAGCCTTGACCTCCTGAGCTCAGATGATCCTCCTGCCTCAGCCTCTTGAGTAGCTGGGACCACAGACACATGCCACCATGCCTGGCTAATTTTTTTTTTTTTTTTTTTTTGAGACGGAGTCTCGCTGTGCTCCCAGGCTGGAGTGCAGTGGCGTGATCTCGGCTCACTGCAAGCTCCGCCTCCCGGGTTCACGCCATTCTCCCGCCTCAGCCTCCCAAGTAGCTGAGACTACAGGCGCCCGCCACCACGCCCGGCTAGTTTTTTTGTATTTTTTTAGTAGAGACGGGGTTTCACCATGTTAGCCAGGATGGTCTCGATCTCCTGACCTCGTGATCCACCCGCCTCGGCCTCCCAAAGTGCTGGGATTACAGGCTTGAGCCACCGCGCCCGGCCTGCCTGGCTAATTTTTTTTATTATTGTTTGTAAAAATGGGGTCTTCCTATGTTGCCCAGAGTGGTCTTAAACTCCTAGGCTCAAGTGATCCTCCCACCTTGGCATCCCAAAGTGCTTGGATTACAGGTATAAGCCACCATGCCTGATTTGGGGTCTTTTTAATATAAAGAGTTATGTGGGGCTGGGAAGAAGAGAGTTATTAACTGCTGAGAATTCTGGAACTGTTCTTGCCCAAGTTGTCCACTCTAAGGCCATATTTGAAATCATAAGACTTCATCAATTCTCCCAAAAATAAAGTAGAAAGAATGAACAGGATAGAAAGATGCCCAGTACCATTCAGACCAGAATGTCAAATAATTGATGGCTTGTAAGCCCTAAACTTCTAAAGCTTTTTGTTCTTGCTCTTACTGTCAACATCTCCCGTGTTTTTTGCCCTTCTTTCTGCCTCCTGCCCCACACCAACTCTCACCCAGGCTCTTGGGGTAGGGGAGGTGCTCCATGTGAAGACAGAGTCCTTGGCACCCCCACTGTGTCTCCTGGGAGATGACCCAACATCCTCATTTGAAACTGTCCAGATCAACGTAGTCCCCACCTCTGATGATTGCTCAGGTAATAACAGCCTGGCCCAAATCCTCGGCTTTACTACAGGAGAATGTGGTGTGTGTGTGTGTGTGTGTGTGTGTGTGTGTGTAGATAGAGGGGAAGTGCAGGCAGCAGGACAGGGAGAAAAAGGTCGGGAGGGGAAATGGCAGAAAACCAGGAGGGAAGGCAGGAAGGAAAGGAAACATTTCAGGGAACCGCAGCAAGGGAAGTGCTGAGGAGATGGAGATTATTTTTCTCTCTTTTTCTTGTTCTAGTATTCTGTCATGCCATTCAACTTGCTTTTTAAAAACGTGAGCAGTTTAGGGCATATCTATCTGTGTGATTCCCCTCCACCCAACATTTTATTATGAACATTTTTGTTGTTGTTGAGACAGGGTCTCACACTGTCGCCCGGGCTGAAGTGCAGTGGCGTGATCTAGGCTCACTGCAACCTCCACCTCCCAGGTTCAAGTGATTCTCCTGTCTCAGCCTCCCAAGTAGCTGGGATTATAGGCGCCCACCACCACGCCCAGCTAATTTTTTGTATTTTTAGTAGAGATGGGGTTTCACCATGTTGGCCAGGCTGGTCTTGAACTCCTGAACTCACGATTCACCCACCTCGGCCTCCCAAAGTGCTGGCATTACAGGCGTGAGCCATCGCACCTAGCCCATAAACATTTTTAAACATACGGAAAGGCTAGAACACCATATACTAAACTAGATTCTACAATTAACATTATTTGTTCTGTTTTTAAAGTGTTCTCAAGTTTATTTACTCGTAGCTGTTTCTTTAGTAAATGTTTATTGATGTGATCATATCTGAGGTATAATCATTTTAAAAAAGAAATATTTATTAAGTACCTACTCCATGCCAGATACTGAGCAGAGTCCTGGGCATGCAAAGATGAACAAGACCTGACCACCATGCTGACTTTCAAACCTGTGATTTAGTAATGGGAGAAAGACAAGTACCAGTCAATACAGGTGTGGTCATTCTAGGATAGAAATCAGTAGAGGCACAGAGATCGAGACCATCCTGGCTAACACGGTGAAACCCCATCTCTACTAAAAATACAAAAAATTAGCCGGGTGTGGTGGTGGGCACCTGTAGTCCCAGCTACTCGGGAGGCTGAGGCAGGAGAATGGTGTGAACATGGGAGGCAGAGCTTGCAGTGAGCCAAGATCGCACCACTGCACTACAGTCTGGGCAAAAGAGCAAGACTCTGTCTCAAAAAAAAAAAAGAAAGAAATCATTAGAGGGTACCGTGAAAGCTCATAAGGGTCCATTTCATCCACATTGGGGCTGAATCTGGGGCATGCTCCTGGAAGAAGGGTTTCTTGAGAGTTTTGAAGGACACGTGGAAATTAGCCAGGAGGACAGTGTGGAGGTTGACTTGTGTGTGAGGAGCCTACATTTCTTCAGAGTGGGCATAAGAAGGATTTGGGGAGTGATGTGGAACTGCAGAGGCTACAGGGCCAGGTGGGGCCCCTGCTAAGGGGCTCTTAGCTTTTATCCTGTGGATACGTGGGGGCCTTTGAAGAATTAAGCAGGGAAGCAATATGATTAGGAAGATGATTCTAGTGGCAAAGTACAGAATGGGTTGCAGAGAGGCAGGGCTGGAGGCAAGAGAACCAAGGAAGAGGCTTATGCAGTTAATCAAGTAAGATATTCGGATGTCGTGAAGAAAGCAGACTTGAGAAAGAATGAAGTGGAACAGATGAATTGTGGTGACCCCCTGGACATTGGGGAGAGGAGTCAAAGAGGTTTGTGGCTAGGATGGCTGTGGGTGGGTGATGTTACTGTTCACTGGATGGAGACTGCAAAAGCAGGGGCTTTCTGGTCAGGGAAGATGATGAATTCAGCATTGGACATGTTGATTTTTTTTTTTTTTTTTTTTTTTTTTTTTGGGCTTTTACTCTTGTTGCCCAGGCTGGAGTGCAATAGTGTGATCTCGGCTCACCGTAACCTCCGCCTCCCAGGTTCAAGTGATTCTCCTGCCTCAGCCTCCTGAGTAGCTGGGATTACAGGCATACTCTACTACGCCCAGCTAATTTTGTATTTTTAGTAGAGACAGGGTTTCTCCATGTTAGACTGGTCTTGAATTCCCGACTTCAAGTGATCCGCCCACCTTGGCCTCCCAAAGTGCTGGGATTACAGGCATAAGCCACCATGCCCAGTAGACATGTTGATTGTTGATTTCAAAGTACCTTCTGGATCTCCTGGCACCATCTCTCACCAGCTGAACTCCAACCAGGGAGCCCACTTATGCAGTCCATTCAGGTTCTTCCTGGATCTCAGAGCACAGCAGGGAGAGATGGAGAGTGGATTTGGAAGGACAAACAGATTATATCCAGCAAATTAATAAATGTCATAAAGAAGACACACAAAATAAGGATTGAAATACTGTTAGCAGGCCGGACGCGGTGGCTTATGCCTGTAATCCCAGCACTTTGGGAGGCTGAGGTGGGTGGGTCACGAGATCAGGATATTGAGATCATCCTGGCTAACACAGTGAAGCCCCGTCTCTACTAAAAATATAAAAAATTAGCCGGGCGTGGTGGCGGGCACCTGTAGTCTCAGCTACTTGGGAGGGTGAGGCAGGAGAATGGCGTAAACCTGGGAGACAGAGCTTGCAGTGAGCCGAGATCGCCCACTGCCGTTAGCAGCAAAAAGATTGTTGGTGGCTTTGCATCACATAGTGTTATTAGAGTCAGATTCTCCTCCATACTTAGGTATTTTTTGAGGGCCTGTACTTTACCCTCAATGGACATGGGATATAGTTCTTACTTTTGGGGAGTTTTGTGAGGGCTATAATACATCATGGTTAAATAGTTACCCTTTTTTTTTTTTTTTTGAGACAGAGTCTTGCCCTGTCACCCAGGCCAGAGTATAGTGGCGTGATCTCCACTCACTGCAACCTCCGTTTCCTGGGTTTAAGTGATTTTTCTGCCCTGTCACCCAGGCCGGAGTGTAGTGGTATGATCTCCACTCACTGCAACCTCCGTTTTCTGGGTTTAAGTGATTTTCCTGCCTCAGCTCCCCTAGTAGCTAGGACTATAGGCACGCGCCACCAGGCCTGGCTATTTTTTTGGTATTTTTGGTAGAGACGGTTTTGCCATGTTGTTCAGGCTGGTGTCGAATTCCTGGCTTCAAGCGATCCACTTGCGTTGGCTGTCAGCCTCCCAAAGTGCTAGGATTACAGGCGTGCGCCACCTTGCCCAACCATGGTTAAATAGTTCTGATAGTGGTTACCTCTGTGCAGGGAATCTGAGTGGCTGGAGGACAGGGAAGGGAAGATTTTTTTTTTTCCACTTAATTTTCCTTTATTCCTTTGGATTTGTATCATGACCGTATTATCTATTCAAAAATGTACATTGAAGTTTTAAAAAGCAATCTTAGTGGTTATGTAATTAAGTACCAAAGTGAACAGTATGGACCAGAGGTAGTGGTGGACTGTTGACCTGTGGGCTGAATCTGGCCCTCAGAAGGATTTTATTTCACCAACATGGGGCCTAGCATTTTCTTTCATGGAGTGATCAACAAGTCGTAAAGGCAGATTTAATGGAGGCCGTGAAGGCTCAGAGATGACTAAGGCTTTGCTGTTTGGTGCCTAGGAGGAAAATTTGTGTGACAGGGCAATCAGGAAGCCTCATTTATGGCCGGTTAGATTTGGGTGACTGTTGAGGCGTGAGAATGGAAGGGACCAGCAGGCAGCTTGGAAGTCAGAATCTGGTGCAGGTGAGTAGCCAGGGGGAGATGCAGACTTGGCAGTTGTCAGCATGGAGATGCATTGGGCCAGGATAAGGTGGAAATCCAGCAAGATCAGAATTTGGGCCATGTAAATGCTGGAGACCCCCTGCACCTTCCACTGCTCAGGCCTATTTTATGTGAATAGACAAGTTCTGTGAACAAGAAAGAGGGAAAAGCAGAAGAGCAAGAACAGCCTTGAGGAACATGGAGCCAGGATGAGAAAAATTAGAGGAGCCCCTGAAGGAGAAAGGGAAGCACTAGGCGAAGTGGTGTGGAGAGCCAGCGGGTGAGCAGCTCTGTGACTTCCCCTCCTGGATTGCCTGCAGTCTAGGGCCAGAAGAGTTTTATTTTCAGGTTCAAAGAGAAAGGACCCATTTCCCCATCTTAACCCTCTTTTTTATTTTTTTGAGACGGAGTTTTGCTCTTCTTGCCCAGGCTGGAGTGCAATGGCACGATCTCAGCCCACCGCAACCTCTACCTCCCAGGTTCAAGCGATTCTCCTGCCTCAGTCTCCTGAGTATCTGGGATGACAGGGATGTGCCACCATGCCTGACTAATTTTGTATTTTCAGTAGAGATGGGGTTTCTCCATGTTGGTCAAGCTGGTCTCGAACTTCCGACCTCAGGTGATCTGCCCGCCTTGGCCTCCCAAAGTGCTGGGATTACAGGCGTGAGCCACTGCGCCCAGCCTCTCATCTTAACCCTCTTAACCCTTCAGTGTTTACATGATATCCAGCTTTTGCCTCATCCTGCTTCCCACAGATGTCCAGACCAAGATAGAACCTGTCTCTCCATGTTCTTCCATCAACTCTGAGGCCTCCCTGCTCTCAGCCGACTCCTCCAGCCAGGTGAGCACCAACTTCCTTCCTCCCTCCAGGTGCTCCAGTGAGTTCCTCCTGACCTAGAAGTATGAGAGCTTTCTCTTCTTCAGCTCCTTCTCCTTGACACTCCTCCTGACTAACGTATCTCTGGAATGCCCCACATAGGCTTTTATAGGAGAGGAGGTCCTGGAAGTGAAGACAGAGTCCCTATCCCCTTCAGGGTGCCTCCTATGGGATGTCCCAGCCCCCTCACTTGGAGCTGTCCAGATCAGCATGGGCCCATCCCCTGATGGCTCCTCAGGTAATGGGGTCTCCTGACACTTGGAATCCCTAGTGAGAGGCCTGTGGTCCTGACATTTCTTGTTTTTTTCTCTCACCTTCAGGGAAAGCCCTGCCCATCCGGAAGCCGCCACTGCAGCCCAAACCTGTGGTGCTAACCACTGTCCCAATGCCACCCAGAGCTGTGCCTCCCAGCACCACCGTCCTTCTGCAGCCCCTCGTCCAGCCACCCCCAGGTACTGAAAAAGAAGAAAAGGGCCGGGCGCGGTAGCTCACACCGGTAATCCCAGCACTTTGGGAGGCTGAGGCAGGCGGATCACCTGAGGTCAGAAGTTTAAGACCAGCCTGGCCAACATGGTGAAACCTTGCCTCTACTAAAAATACAAAAATTAGTGGGGAGTGGTGGCAGTCGCCTGTAATCTCAGCTACTCAGGAGGTTGAGGCAGGAGAATCATTTGAACCCAGGAGGTGGAGGTTGCAGTGAGCCAAGATCATGCCACTGCACTCCAGCCTGGGAGACAAAGCGAGACTTCGTCTCAAAAAAAAAAAAAAGATAAAGGAAAATAAAATAATTAAAGAAGGAGAAAAGGAGGCGGGCTGCATTGACCTTGTCAGGGAGCTTGCAACCATTGAGGCTCCCAATCCTTGGGTGCTCTGGTGTGGGTGTGGACACAAGGACCCCACCTAGCGCACAACCCTCTGACCTCCTCTGCTCACTTGCCCCAGTATCCCCAGTTGTCCTCATCCAGGGTGCTATTCGAGTCCAGCCTGAAGGGCCGGCTGCCTCTCTACCACGGCCTGAGAGGAAGAGCATCGTTCCTGCTCCTATGCCTGGAAACTCCTGCCCGCCTGAAGTGGATGTAAGTGTTGGGGAGGAGAGGAGTAGGGCGAGTGATGGGAAGGGAAGAGGGAAGTCTGTCATGGAGAGAACTGTGGGATGAGGAGGGAGTTGAGACCTAGGAGCAAAAAGTGAGGAAGCAGACCCATTAGATCATTCTGGGGGTCCGAGTGGACTTCTGTTTCTATATGAATATCAACTCCAGGTAGTTTTAGGGTGCTTTAGGTTTGCTGTCACTGCAGATGGAGAAATGGGGTTGGTCTCCATAAATTAAAGGCAAGGAAGTCATACTGTACTATACGACTACGGTCGTGGCCATAGTTGGGGAGGGAGGCTGCCTCCTGGGGGAAAATCAGGTGGACTGTATAAGTGGTATAACAAGGTTAAACTTTGAACCCTACAAATGTGGGTTGACAGGAAGAAAGACTTACCAAGGAAAGAGTTTCCACCAGCATGGAGAAAGTTCTTCCTGCACTGTAACCTTTCCCACCTCTAAGAAGCAGTAGCAGGGCATGTTTGAGAGAAGGGCCCCTTCCCTAGAATGTCTGAGTAGAGAGGAAAAACCTCTCTGGCTGTGTAGGTGGATCAGGAAGGCAGGGGAATGGCCGTGTGAGCTTTGGGTAAATCATTCCCTGGGGTTTGGGAGCATAGTCCCCCTCTGCCAACTCATCTGTCATTCTTTTTTGACCTTTCGGGTGCCTAGGCAAAGCTGCTGAAGCGGCAGCAGCGAATGATCAAGAACCGGGAGTCAGCCTGCCAGTCCCGGAGAAAGAAGAAAGAGTACCTGCAGGGGCTGGAGGCTCGGCTGCAGTCAGTGCTGGCTGACAACCAGCAGCTCCGCCGGGAGAATGCTGCCCTCCGGCGGCGGCTGGAGGCCCTGCTGGCTGAAGTAAGACCAGTCTGTCCCTGGGAGACCAACAGGAATACAGCCTCCTTGGAATGAGTCCCCTTTTTGTTGTCTCTTTCTTTGTGCCTTAGAACAGCGAGCTCAAGTTAGGGTCTGGAAACAGGAAGGTGGTCTGCATCATGGTCTTCCTTCTCTTCATTGCCTTCAACTTTGGACCCGTCAGGTGAGACCTTCCTTGCTTCACTAGAACCTTCCATGTGGAGCCCACCTTACAGCCTCCTAGCTGCCTGCTTTGGCCCAGGCCATTTCCTTATGCTTATACACAAATGGTTCTGGTGTCCTTGGCACCGATGATGTGTCTGGTCAGCCCCTTCCTGCTCCATTACTTTTCTTTTTTTTTTTTGGAGACGGAGCCTCGCTCTGTTGCCCAGGCTGGAGTGCAGTGGTGCGATCTCGGCTCACTGCAACCTCCGCTTCCTGGGTTCTAGCGATTCTCCTGCCTCAGTCTCCCGAGTAGCTGGGACTACAGACGCACACCACCATGCCCAGCTAATTTTTTGTATCTTTTTAGTAGAGACAGGGTTTCACCGTTGTTACCTAGGCTGGTCTCGAACTTCTGAGCTCAGGCAATCCACCCGCCTTGGCCTCCCAAAGTGCTAGGATTATAGGCGTGGGCCACCTTGCCCAGCCTCCTGCTCCATTATTTTTCTAGTGGAGAGTAGATGATGGTGATAATGTTGGTAGAAATAGTGACTATTAAATGCTTACTGAGTTCTAGGCTCTAGGTGATGCACTTTCTTTTTCGTATGTAGGGACCATCCTTATTCCCATCTTACAGAGGCAGACTGAGGCCTGTGTAACAGATTGCAACTCAAGCAGTCCATCTGCGGAGCCCTTATTCTTAACTAGACACTTGATACAGCTGAAATTCTTCATTGTGCTCCATCCCTCTTTATCCACAGCATCAGTGAACCTCCTTCAGCTCCTGTCTCTCCTCGGATGAACAAGGGGGAGCCTCGACCCCGGAGACACTTGCTGGGGTTCTCAGAGCAAGAGCCAGTTCATGGAGTTGAACCTCTCCAGGGGTCCTCCCAGAGCCCTGAAGAGCCCCAGCCCAGCCCCACAGACCAGCCCAGTTTCAGGTGAGGAGAGAGAGAGAGAACCCCCCTCTCCTTTGAGGGTATGAGTTGGTCTTCTCCCCGCTTTCGGTGAGGGAAACCCAAAACTTTCATCGCCTTCTTTGTTGTGGGAGCGCTGGGCAGTCTCCAAGTGTGGTCTCCTTCCTACTTCACTCCAGGAACCTGACAACCTTCCCTGGGGGCGCCAAGGAGCTACTACTAAGAGACCTAGACCAGCTCTTCCTCTCCTCTGATTGCCGGCACTTCAACCGCACCGAGTCCCTGAGGTGTGGGATTCATCCCTGGGGCATCCTCCCCCGGCCTCCCAAGACCCTGTGCAATCAGCCTGACTGGCCTGTGTACTAAAGCGCCAGCGCTCCCTGCCCTCTCCTCACTCCTGTGGGTGGGCAAGGAGGGTGGGAATCTTGGCCTGGCATGGAGGTCCTGAGCCTCCTCCATTTGCCCAGGCTTGCTGACGAGCTGAGTGGCTGGGTCCAGCGCCACCAGAGAGGCCGGCGGAAGATCCCTCAGAGGGCCCAGGAGAGACAGGTAGGGCGGGTGGCTGGTTCAAGGAAGGCCACTTGGAGACAAGGGCTGAAGGCCTCGTCTGGGGATTCCTAGTGGGCATCTCGCTGTGGAAGTTTGAGGGATCGTTTGAAGGAAGTGGAGGATTGAGTGGGAGGTGGCATTAGCTTCCAGGGGCCGTTTGTCTCTTTCCCTTTTCCCTTTACCCTCTCCAAATCCTTAGATATTTCTCCTTCCAGAAGTCTCAGCCACGGAAGAAGTCACCTCCAGTTAAGGCAGTCCCCATCCAACCCCCTGGACCCCCGGAAAGGTGAGTGTGGGGTGGGGTGCTTACTTATTAAGTGAAATTCCACTCTCAAGAACTGTACCCCCAGTAGCTGTCCTGTGCCTGTCATTACTGTCACCAGTGGAATTATACCTCCCTCCTCCACTCAGGGTCTCCTGTCTTTTTCTCTCATCCTGCCCCCTTCCCTGGTAGAAACTGAGCATTGGGCTTAGTTCCCCTCAAATCCTATTTCCCCACCTGCCTAGGGATTCTGTGGGCCAGCTGCAGCTATATCGCCACCCAGACCGTTCGCAGCCAGCGTTCTTGGATGCAATTGACCGACGGGAAGACACGTTTTATGTTGTCTCTTTCCGAAGAGTGAGTTTCTCTTGCCCTCACATCTCTGTCACCCCAGGTTCCCAGCAGTCTGTCTTCAGTGGGGGGATGTAGAGTAGAGCTGGGGAGCCTGTTGGCATCTTTGCCTCCACCCTTCCGGCCTGGCCCCTCTGTTCTCCAGGACCACCTGCTGCTCCCAGCCATCAGCCACAACAAGACCTCCCGGCCCAAGATGTCCCTGGTGATGCCGGCCATGGCCCCCAATGGTAACTCTTTCCCTGCTGGGTATGGGGGCAGTTCCAACAGGGAGATCCAGCCTGGGAGCTGAGGGGGAAGGGGGAGAGGAGCAGGGCATCCAGAGAGCTGCTGGATCCACAGGTGAGAAGCAGCAGGAAGTGGGTGGAGGGAAGAGCACCACGCAGGAGACTTTGGGAGGGAGATGAGGGTGAGGGTCCTTCCCTGGTGAAGGTGCTTGGGTAGATGACTGGGCAGAGGCAGGTGGGCGGGGAACCTGCTAGACTCTCACTTCCTTTTTTCTCTTAATGTCCTCTCCTGTGTAACCCCACACTCATCAATGCCCTTTTCTTTTCCTACCCCTCTCCTTGTCCCTGCACCAAACTGTGTCCCTGCCATCCTGTTTAATTCCCACTATGGATCTGCCTCCTCACTATTGCCCTTTCCTTTCCTCTCTGCATACCTCTACTTTTCCGACCTCCTCCCCTCCTCCCTCCAATCCCTGTTTGCCTCCCCGTCTCCTCTTCCTTAACTCTCCCCTTCTCACAGAGACCCTGTCAGGCCGTGGGGCCCCGGGGGACTATGAGGAGATGATGCAGATCGAGTGTGAGGTCATGGACACCAGGGTGATTCACATCAAGACCTCCACGGTGCCCCCCTCGCTCCGAAAACAGCCATCCCCAACCCCAGGCAATGCCACAGGTGGCCCCTTGCCAGCCTCTGCAGCCAGCCAGGCCCATCAGGCCTCCCACCAGCCCCTCTACCTCAATCATCCCTGACCTCTGCCATTCACACTGACTTAGAACGGGAGGAGAGGGTACCGGGTGGCCAGGTGGGACTGTTTCAAATTTCCCTGATCCCCAGGCTTGGGGTAATTGGTAAAGGAAAGACCAGGTATGGGGGTTAAGCACTTATTTGAGGTGGGGGTATTCACCTCTCTTCTCATCCCTTTTCAGAATATAGAGCTCCTCTCATTCCTATGAACCCCCAGTCCCGGCTTCTTTCTTTGAGGGGATTGCGTGAGGTTCAGTTGTGGGGTGGGTGGTGGGCTGCTGCATATTCTTTATTTTGTTTCTCTGTTATGGCAGTGGAGGTGGGAATTTAGTCCCCAGGTGGGACAAGGGAAGTTTTTGCATTTTGGAGCTAGTTACTGGGAGTAAGGGAGGGTGGCGGGGGGAGTACAGGTTTATGTGTGTGCATTTCTTTTTTATTATTATTAAATAAACAACTTGGAGGGAGTTGAAGGAGTGGTGGCTGCCTTCCTGGCTCGTGATGGGGAGTCTGGGGGAAAGTGGCTTCTCCAGAGCCAGCATCAAAGGATCAAGCACTGAAGACATAGCTGGCTCTGAGGTGGGGTGGGTGCAGGATCACAGACCGCATGTCATCCCCTTGCCCCACCCCCGCAAGTCTGGGGTATATCTGTGTCTAGCAATGATGTCCTGTGGTGGGACAGACTAGAGGATACGCATCCCTGGAATGAGAGTCCACAGGAAAGATGGGCCCCCACACCCTTCAGGGTGAGCAGCCTCTGGGTCTCCTGCTCTCAAGCAGGTTCTCCCCCTCCTCTTGCTGTCCAGGATGAGCAGCTCAAACAAACAATGGGAGCTGGGGCCAGAGGCTCAGAGCCCAGAAAGCGGGGGCCTTGGTGAAGAAGGGGTGATATTTGGAAGGGAAGGGGGATGTGGCAGGATATCCTCTAAGCCCTAAACTGGAGGGGACTGAGACTTGAGAGTCCAGATGAAAGACTGAAAAGAGTGGGGCAGGCAGAAAAAGCTGTGCATTCTTATTTTTTAAATTTTTGTTTGTTTGTTTTTGTTTTTTGAGATGGAGTCTCACTCTCTCGCCCAGGCTGGAGTGCAGTGGCGTGATCTCGGCTCACTGCAACCTCTGCCTTCCGGGTTCAAGCAATTCTTCTGCCCCAGCCTCTCAAGTAGCTGGGATTACAGGTGCCCACCACCACGCCCAGCTAATTTTCGTATTTTTAGTAGAGATGGGGTTTCACCATATTGGCCAGGCTGACCTCGTGATCTGCCTGCTTCGGCATTGCAAAGTGCCCGGCTAGGCTGTGCATTCTAATTAGGAAGAAGGGGAGCAGGACAAAGTGAGGGGTTGAGTCTGAGGCCAACCTGGGAGAATCCCCCTCCAGCTGCTCCTGTCCAGCAGTGCCTCAGGCCTGACCCTGCAGGAGTGTCCTGGGTCAGCTGGAGGGTGTGAGCTGGGTCTGGGCTCAATGCCCAGATGACTGGACAGGGGCTGCCTGGCCCATAGCCCAGGCCTGAAGGAGGGAGGAAGAACCTCATGTGTCCAGCCAGGCAACCCTCACACCCCTCCCGCTGCCGTCACCCATTACTGTGTTTGGGGTGAAAACAGACCAAGTAACTATGGCAACCTGGAACCAGGGCTCCCAGGAACTAGACCTTTCCTCCCTCCAGAGGGCAGCCCAGCTTCTCAGCTGTGCTTTCTATCCCAGAGTCCTGAGCCTTATCCACCCTATCTCTGGAGGGGGTACAGTGAGAACAAGGATTTTGGAAGCACATCACCTGAGCTGGATTCCCTGCCCTGTCTTTCATAGTAGGTGTCCTTAAACATTCTGAGCCTTAGTTTCCTTTTCTGTAAGATGGGATGTTCCTACCTCCTAATCAGGATTGATGACAGGATGAAAGATGACATCCTCAGTGCCTGGTCCATAATAGAGACACCTTTTCCTCATCCCTTGCCCCTTTCTGTCTCCATCTCTGTTGTGCTTCTCTCTTCCACTTTTATCCAATCTGTGTTCCACTGTTTCATTGTCCAGTTGCTCTTCCTCCTTCTTGCCCCCAGTTCGGGAAAGTACTTGAAGTGCTGGCATCTCAGTGGGGGACCCTGGGGTAGGACATCCTGCTCCTCTGCTAAGTGGCAAGGGACAGCTGGCACTTTGGTGTGGATGAGACATCAGACCTCTCTTGGCTGAGGGAGTGCGGTGGTGGGAGGGATTGAGAAGGATCGTGGGTGGGTACCTGATGTGGGGTGAAAGCTGGGCAGGCTCTGGGCTGCTGCCCTCTAGGCCCATGTGGATCTCTATTCCTCTGGCCACTCAGCATGCCAGGCTGCTGTCACTCCCGCACCTCTTTGGCCCCTCCTGCCCTGTGCCTGCTTTGTCTTTCTGTTCTGCTTTCCTTATGCCACCATCTCCTGCTTTTCTTCCTCAGGATCCCGCCTTTTATTCTCTCTCGTCCCTGACCTCATCATCCCTCCCTTCCTCTTTCTAGACTTCTTTCCTGCCTTTCTTTGCTCTCTACCTCATTAGCAGTTATCACGACCTCTTTTTGACCCATTATTCATCGTTGTTTTTTTCTTCTTGTGCATCTTCCCCACCCCATCCACTGCTTCACTGTCTTAATTTTTTTTTTTAATTTAAAAATGGAGGTGGGATCTCACTATGTTGCCCAGACTGGTCTTGAACTCCTGGCCTCAAGCAGTCCTCCCATCTCGGCCTCCCAAAGTGCTAGGATTGCAGGCATGAGTCACCGTGCCGGCCTTATTTAAAAAAAATTTTTTTTTAATTCACTGTCTTTTTCCTTTGTTCTTCTTGGTCTTTTCATCTGCTGCTGCCGCTGACCCTGTGCTTGTCACCTCCCTTTTTCATGCCGCCCCCTTTCTATTTCCCATTCTGCTCCCTTGTCCACATTTCTTGCCCCTTTCCATTATTTCCTCTCTTTTCCCCCACTTTGGTCCTCTCCTCCTCCTTCCTTCCCCCACTCCCTTCACTTCCCACACCAGTTCTCCGTCCTCTTCCCAGCTGTGGGGGCCAGCACTGGGGAGCCTGATGTTTGTCTCATCGTTCTGCTATGGCTTCTGGATACAGCACATCTGGATTCCGGGGCCCAGATGTGTGGTTGCCACAGCGACCTGGGTCCCTGTGGTAAATACAGGCGCCCACCCGCCTCAGAGCAGAGAACAAAACAATTGTGTGACTTTCTTTTGTCACGAGATAGAAATGTCCTTCCTCCTCCCTTCTCCCCACACCCATGTCTCCAGGCAAAGGAAGTTTTAAGGGTCCAAACCCTTCTTTCTGAGACTCCCTTGCCCCCTTTTCAGCTGTAGCCTCTTAGTTCTCTCCCATCTTTCATCCTGGGCTCTGTCTTTTCATTCTGTGTTCCCCATCCTCACCCCACCCCCAGTTCTCAATAATGGAGTGTTGACCACCCCCTTCCCCATCTGATGCCATTTCTTCTAACTGAATCTACACAATACCTGGATGCAGAAAGAAGTTTCAGAAATCTGGATTCTCCACCCTTCTTTGTACAAGTGCTTCAAAGAAGCCACTTTGTTTGTTTGTTCCCTAAGTCTTCAATCCTTTCCTTTCCTGGAGTTGTTTGGGGAGGAGAGGGAATACAGGCTTAGGAATCAGAACACCTGGGTGAGGCCCACCTTCACCACTACTAACTTAGTCCCTTGAACAAGACCCTTAATGTCTATGAGCCTCTGTTTCCTCAGCCACAAAGTGGGATTAATGCCCGCACTGTGTAGGAAACTGTTTTGTAAACGGAAGCCCGGCACAAGTGTTTTCTATCTTTCCCCTCTCTGGGACTGCTTTCTTGGACTACCGCCCCTGGCATCTCTTGTTCCCCTGTCTTCATCCTTCAGGTCCTTGCCCTCAATTGCCCTTACTCTTCTGTGTCTGCCTTCTCTCCTCCCTATCTTTCCTTTCCTTTTCTCTGTCTTTCATCTCTTTTCCTCCTGAGGTCAGGACAGAAACTTGGAGGATCATTCAAGGAAGGAGGCTCAGAGCTGAAGACACAGGGACTGAGGATACAGAGAACAACCGGAGCTTGTGGACGGTTCTCAACAACACTGACCTTTCTACCCACCACCCAGGACACCTCAGTGAAGCCAACCCCAGCTTTGACCGCTGGGCTTCCCTGCCTTCACGCCTGGGCTCATTACTCTTTCCCCCTCCTCTCTCCCAGTCCTTTCACATTTCAGTGTTGACTTGCATTTATTGGTCACCTACACTATGCAAGGCTTGGTGCTTTTCTTACAAAATGTGAACATGTAAGACATGAGCTTCTCCATGAGCCTGGAAACCAAAGGGTGAACCAAATGGTAAACAATGATAATTCCAGAACCTGAAGCTATATCTGCTGAGCGCCCAGTGGCTTCCCCAGATGCCTTATAAGCTTGTGTACATCTGGAATCCCACATTTCTCTCTGAGACCCCAACAGTGGGCTTCCAGAACATCCCAGCACCATCCTTCTGGCTGTCCTCTCTGGGGTCCCTGGCCACCCTCTGTGCCAAATGTACTTATGTTGACCATTATTCCTAAATAATAAAGCCAGGATATAGGGCATAGGCACAAAAAAAAAAAAAAAAAGATACGACCATGAAGCAGAAATCTGAAGGGGTCAGAGGAAATTCATACTGTGTTCTGCCCTGTGTGTGCGATGCTGTCTCCAGACCCTTCCTCATCCTTTCACTGCTGTGCTCCCCACCTCCTGCCAGGAGATCCTTGGGAAGCTGCTACCTACTCCTGGCTCTGGGGGCTTCAGGCCAAGGCAGAGGAAGGAAGCTGAGCCTGGCTCTGTCCAAGATGCTGACTTCATCCTCCCCATCAAAGCCAGGAAAAAAACAGCCACACACACCCAGACACACGGACACACACGGGGACACCCACGCGAAAGCCCATGTGTGCCTTTGCCCTTGGCCACATGGAGCTTACCAGGCATCTGGCCACAGCCACATGCAATGCAGGCACGCCCTGACCCAGGAACACCACACACCTGCCACCGTGGGGATCTGACTTGGTGTGCAGGCACCTGGGCTGCCACCCATGTGGCAGAATCAAGCACATATAGGTTCCTTCACGTCCCTTTCACTATCACCTGTGACTTGGCCAAGTTACACCTCAGTGGTGAGGTTTGCAGCGGGATAGAGACTCAATCCTCACCGTGAAGCTGGGGGTAGTGGGTTCCCACTCAGCTGGGATATTTCTCCTCTGTAGCAAAAGTCTCTTTTTCAGCCCCTTGTCAGGGCAGCACATGGGGAGATGAAGCCAGGGAAACACCCAACAGACTTATAGTGGGTATGTCTGTCTCCCTGTTCCCCATGTCCTCTGGCTGTCAGTTTTCTGCCTGGGACCGGAGACAGAGTGCCCGTTTCCTCCAGCCCCTACCTCTCCCCGCCTCTGCTGCTGCTCCCCTGCAACACCCAGGCACCAGCCCCCACCCTGCTTTCCACCACTTCACCCTCTATTCAGGTGACCCAACCTAATATTTGCCTCCTGCCTCTAGCCCTTTCTTCAACCCTAAACCTTCTTCCTAACCTTCAGGCTTTCCTTCCTTGTCTCCCCTCAACCCCAGCTTCCTCCCCAAGGCTTCTTTGTCCCAGTGTTCACCCAGGCCCTTGCCCTGCCAGTGCCTAAGCCTCACCTGCTCTTTCTCTAGGGACTTGCTGAGGTAGGAGAATGCAAAGGAGGCAGTGACAGGAGAGGGACTGAGCAGAGCAGACAGGGGTGGCTCAGGGACGGGATAAGCAGAGAAGATAGAAAGAAATGGGACTAGGGCAGGGCGGGGACTTGGGGTCCCAGAGATGGTCCCAGTTGGAGAAAGAGGTTGCCTCCTGCCTCCGGCCCCCTGCCCCTGCTCCCTGCTCTGGACTGCCAAGGGAGAACTGGTGAGAGGATGAGGGCGCCAGCACTGGCTGATAGACTTGGGGTGCGATCCAGAGATCTAAGCTAGAGCAGTAGCTGGGAAGAGATGGGAGGGGAGCATGGGGGAGGGAGGGGAAGGGGGCTGGCCACAAGGAAGGATATAGGCTGAGAGGAAACCACTGGGGTCAGAGATGGGGGGCAGCAGGTGGGGAAATGGTGGGGAAAAAGAAATGGCAGGAAGGGTGGGGGATGTCAAGTTGGGCAAAAATTAGGGTGAGCGTTAAAAATGGGATAGGGAAAGGACATGGGAGGTAAGACCAGGGCTGGGGGTTGAGATGAGGGTATAGTGAGACAGTGATGCTAGACAGGGAGTGGGGGCTGGGGTGGGGCAGGACAAGAGGAGGGGTGGCATGTGGGAGGGCCTGGGAGGGGTGGGAGGACCTGCCCTATCTCCGCTCCCCTCCCTGACCTCATCCTGGTCCTCCCCTTCTCCTCCCCTGCTCGCTGCAGACTCTCTCCTTCTCACTGTCGCTGCCGAGATCCACAGGCGGTTGTGGCTCAGCCCCTGTTGCAGGGGACAAGTGAGGGCGACTTTCCTGTCCTGCCCTGAGACGCCGCCCTCCCGGGGTTGGGGACAGAGCAGGTGCAGAGGCACTGCAGCTGCCCGGTTGCCCAGGTAAGGAACAGAGTTCTGGGGAGACCCAGAAGGAGAGGCAAAGGATTTCTCGCCTATCCCCACATCCTAGGTGAAGGTGCGGCAGGTGAGCTCTCAGCAGTGCTTCCAGAGCAAGGACTTCTGTTCAGGACAGAGGACATAGGAGCATTCACTGGGAACCAGGCTCCCTGTGAAGGAGTGTCTGGGAGGAGAGGGTGGTATGTGTGTGTTGGGGTGGGGGTGTATGTCAGGGCTTGGATGGGATGCAGACAACTGAGAGGGGCTGGGAACAAACCCAGGGACTCCGAGAGTCAGATGGTGGAAGCAGGGTAGAGGTGGTTATTGGTGAGGTGAGCCCCTGGGTCCTGGAGGTGCTGGGGCTAGCGGGAAGATAGGACTAGGCTGAACTGGTGACCAGCTGAACCTCGGAAGGAAAGTGCTTGCGGAATCCCAAGTGTCGGGCTGGAGCAACTGAGCCCAGGCTCTGAGCTCCAGGCTCCAGGAGGTGCCAAAGGGTGCTGCTTTGGGCATCCAAATAGGGACTCCCTAGGTGGCAGCGTGAAAGTTGCAGGGAGGGAGGTCTGGGAGATCTCTTGAGGAAATACGGAAATGGGACAGTCAGGACTCTCGGGTCTGGGAAGTGCACAGAGCCTGCAGAGAGGATCCTAAAACTTGTTCTTGGTCAGAGCTCTGCACTCATGACTCACGGTTCAGCAGGGCTGGGATGACTGAGAGATGCCTCTGGGGGCACAGGGGCTCCGTCTTCACTCTGTGCCCCTTCCAGGCTCCCCTTGCCTCTGTCTGTCTGAACCCGAGCTCTCCCTCACCCCGCCCTCCCCACCAGTACACGTGACACGCCCCGGGTGGGGCGGGCGGGCCCCTTATCTCGCCTGGAAAGAATTTAATGGCATAGAAACAACTGGAAGTGGAACTGAGAGGAACTACTGGGAAGGAACTCGGAAACACCACAGCTGCTGCCTGCCCCGCCCCTGCTTCCCGCATCTCCAGCCCCTCCTCTTTTCCCTGATCCTGCCTCCAAGTCCCTGGGGACCCAGCACCTCAATTCTTCAAACTTCCTTCTGCTCACTCCAGACCTGGCCACTAGGTGCAGGACCAGAAACTGCCTTCCTGTCTCTCATTGCACCCCTAACCATTTTCAACTGGAGTCTGGAAATCCTCTCTCTTAATTTTTCCATTCCTAGGCCCATTAGCTCCCCAGAATAAGGGGCATCTGGGTTCCCCAACCCACCCCTCCCTGACACCTCCTTCCCACCTGGTTCCAGCCCAGTGTCTGGGACCCCCACATTCCCTTTTTAGTCTCACTCCTGGAATCCTGTCTTCACCTCTCATTGCCAGATTCAACTGGGGGTGTAGCAGGAGGGTCAGAGGGAGACATGGGGGTGGGACCATAACCCCCATCTCTGGAACATCTCTTATGGAAGCCAGCCCCTCTCGCCACCCCTTGGGACCTGTGCAGTCCCTAATGAGCAAAGTGTCAAAGTTGGCTACAACACTGAATACCCAGGAAGCTGAGTCACAGTTTGGGAAGATGCCCCCATCCCTGCCAGCCCTCCAACTGTGGGGAGGGTGCCAAGAGGGTGAGGCCATATCTCCCCTCAAACACGCACTGCAGAGAACCACTCCAGACATAGTGGCAGGGGGAATGGTGAAGGGGAGACACAAGAGACACCCAATTCTTTGCTTGCCCAGTACTGAGAGAAGAGCAGAATTCTTGCAGGAGCTGGAATGGGGAGCTGGAGGGGTGGGTGGTGGCAACAGGGCAGGGAGGGAGATCGAGAAGGAGCCTCTGGGTGTGTGGTCAATGGAGGCTGCTGTGCTCTTCTAGACCAATCTCACCAGCTTTCTGGAAAAGCTGCTGAGCTCTCTTCACTCCTTCCTACTGCAAAGACCCTCTCTGCTTTCCCCACTGTGCAGGGAAAGGTGAGGAATCCAATTATTTGGGGAGGGGCACTGGACATCTCACAGAGGCCTCCAGGGGTACGGGGAAGTATAGTGGAGGCCATGTGTCCACTGCTCCCCACTGGGGAAGGGCCTCCTATTCGGTTCCTCTCACACCATCCAGGTTCTTTCACTCACAGAGCTGACCTCGGAGCCAACAAGAAATCAGCCTTCTTAGGCATCAGCCAATGACTAGGTGTGGAGGAAACCTGAAGGGGAGATTGGGTGTGTGTGCACGTGTGCCTGGGCACCCATATGTGTACCTGCAAGGATGCAGGTTTTGTGGGTGGATTTGTGTGTCTGTGCAGGTATGTTTGTATTTGTATTTGTGGATGAGCACACATTAACATATTTGTAAGTGTACATGTGTACACATATTTGTGCAAGCGCTCCCATGGTGTGGGAGTGATTTGCATGGCCTTAGACACAAAGTGACAGGATTTGAGGGTCAGCCAGAGCCCATCTCTTACCCAAGGGTACACTCCAGGCTGAGAGAAGGGCTGGGGGGACAGGAAAGGGCAGCTCTCTGTATGCCAGGCCTCTTGGCCTGGGCTTTCTTGGGTGGGGAACCTCTTGGTGTGGAAACACTCTGTCCCTGTTCAGCTCCCTTTCCGTCTCTTGCTGGCTGGTAGTAGAATGTGATGGCTGGTAGCCCTGAAAACTCCTTTTTCTCTGATCCAGGAGAAAAGTCTAAGAGTTGAAAGCCAGAAGATGTGTGCGTGTTGGGCGGAGGTGTGTGTGTGTCACAGTCACCTCCACCTACCAGTGACATATCCCCCACTCCTCACTGGTCAGCATTTCCACACCCACCCTACCCTCCTCCTTCCCCCAGCCGCTGGTCTGGAAGAACTGGGCACCTTTCAGCATCTCAACTCTTCACCCGAGCTGAATCCTGCCTGGGCCCTCACACTGCTGTTCGCCATAGCCCTCTCCTGTCTCATCCTGGGACCCCCCTACTACCTTTCCTCCCACCTCTTGTCTCTGTGTGCTCCCCAATCCCTGCCTCAGTAAACTCCACAAACACACACAACTGGGTAACCATCATGTAGATCAAGAAATAAGACACCTTTAGCCCCTCAGAAGCTGCCCAGCATGCCGCTACTAGTCACTGCCCCCGCAAGAGTATCACACTTCTGACTTGGAGCACTACAGATTAATGTTGCCTCTCCTCAAACTTCACATAAATAGAAGTATGCAGCATGCTGTTTCCTGTGTCTGGCTTTTGTTCAACCTCATCTTAGTAAGATCCATCACACTACTGCATATAACTATAGTTCGTTCCTGCTTTATTTTATTCCACGGTGTTAATAAACCACAATTTATTTAATCTATTCTACTAATGTGAAATAGTCCCAGTTTGGGACTATTATGAGCAGTACTGCTATGTTGGGTATATTCCTAGGAGTGGAATTGCAGGGTCACAGGGTTTGCATGTGTTCAGCTTTAGTACATTTAGTAGATTCTGTCAAACAGTTTTCCAAAGTGCTTGTACCATCTGGTCCTGCCAGGATCTCCCCTGGCCTGGCCTCTGATTCTGCCTCTGCCCTGGTGACTGTGTCTAACCAACTTCCAGTCCCAGACACTGTCCGTGGTCCTAGCCCTGACCTTGGTCCTGCCCTTGGTTCCAGCCTTAATGCTAGTCCTGCGTTTATATTGAACTTTTCATTCATTCATATAGTTGGTAAACATTTATGGAGCACCACTTATGTGCCAGATGCAAGGATACAGCAGCCAAGAAAGAAAAATAGGTGCCATGCCTGCCCTCATGGACTGTATAGTCTAGTGGGCAAGAAAGTAATAAAATAATCTCACAGTATATTTATATATTATTTTGGACTTCAAAAATAAAAAAATATTTATTTATATATGGTTACAAATTGTTATAAATGCTACAAGTGAGAATGGTGTGATGCTGTGATACCACATGGTAGGAGGACCTGACCTAGTCAGGAAAACTTCCCTGTGAAAAAAATGGCGGGCTGAGACCTGAAGGATGAGAAGGCCAAGAGAGAAGGGAACGGTGTTCCACACGGATGGAACAGCGTATACAAAGGTCTGGGGTTGGGGATGGGCACAGAGAATGTGAGGGACTTGAAGGTCAGTGGGGCTGGAATGGAGGGAGGAAGGGAAATGTTATGGGAGGTGAAGTGGGGGCAGGGGACACATGATGGTAGGGCTGTTTGTCAGTGTTCTAAGAGAATTTGGAAGGGAGGCACTGAAGCATTTTGAGGAGAGGGACATCCTGATTGCATTTGTGAGACTGTAGAGGACAAGGGTGGAAGCAAAGGGAAGAGTCAGGGCTGGACACAGTGGCTCACACCTCTAATCCCAGCACATTGGGAGGCTGGGGTGGGAGGATTGCTTGAGCCCAAGAGTTCAAGGCCAGCGCGGGCAACATAGAAAGATCCTGTCTCTACCAAAAAAAAAAAAAAAATTTAAAAATTAGCTGAGTGTGATGGCACACACCTGTAGTCCCAACTACTCAGGAGGCTGAGGTGGGAGGATTGCTTGAGCATAGGTCAATGCTGCAGTGAGCTATGATTACACCACTGCACTCCAGCCTAGGTGACAGAGTGAGACCCTGCCTCAAAAAAAAAAAAAAAAAGATGCAGCCAGGAAGCAGTTGCAGTTGTCAGGCAAGAGGCGGATGGAAGTTTGGATTAGAACGAAGGTAAGTGAGAGAGAAGGAAATGAATTAAAGAGATGTTTATGAGAAAATACAGGTAGATACAAGGAAATATGGTGGCACCGAATGGGCTGTTAGGTTTCTGGCTTGTAAAGCTGGATGAATGGCAGGGCCCTGAGTTTCAATGGGGAATTCTGGGAGGGAATGGTATACAGGAAAGTGATCATGAATTCAGTTACAGGCATGGTGAATTTGAGGTGCCCAAGTGGAGATGCCAAGTAGGCAGGTGGATATATTGCCGTGGAGTGAGAGGAAGATGACAGGAGTGTTTTACAAGTTGGTGTATAGTTTGGAAACTGAAGTCATGAATCTGGATGAAGGTACCACGTGGATGACTAGAGCAGCAGGTCTATTAATTTAGTAGAAATTTGTTGCACATTACAATCATCTGGGGAGCTTTTAAAAATACTGAATAAAATTCAGTTACTTGGTCATTCTAGTCACATCTCAAGTGTTGCAGAGCCTCATATCCCTCCTGGCTACCATATTGGTCAGCATGGATACAGAATGTTTTAAAAGAGAAGAGCCAGGCGCAGTGGCTCATGCCTGTAACCCCAGCACTTTGGGAGGCCGAGGCGGGCAGATCATCTGAAGTCAGGAGTTCAAGACCAGCCTGGGCCAACAATGGTGAAACCCCCATCTCTACTAAAAATAAAAAAATTAGCCAGGCATGTGCGCCGCCTGTAGTCCCAGCTACCGGGAGTCTGAGGCAGGAGAATCGCTGAACTCGGAGCAGAGGTGGCAGTGAGCAAGAGATCGTGTAACGCACTCTAGCCTGGCGACAAAGTGAGACTCCCATCTCAAAAAAAAAAAAAAAAAAAGAAGAAGAAGAAGAAGATGCGGTGAACTGTGTCCAGTGATTTTGAGAGAAGTCGAAGGTCAAGCAAGATGAAGACAAATGTCTCTTAGATTTTGTAGCACCAAAGTCATTGGGAAGCCTTAGAGGGAGCTGTTTGGTGGGTTGGAGGGAGTAGAGTGGATTGAGGCATGCATGGGCTATAGGGAAATGGAAACACCAAATACAGATAAATCTTGACAACTGTGGCCATGAAGTAGAGGAGAGAAATATGTGGTGGCTGGAGGGGGTGTGAGATTGGGGAAAGGTTTTTTAAGGTTTAATTTTTTTTTTGAAATGGAGTCTCACTCTGTTGCCCAGGCTGGAGTGCAGCGGCACGATCTCAGTCCACTGCAACCTTTGCCTTCCAGGTTCAAGAGATTCTCCTGCCTCAGCCTCCCAAGTAGCTGGGATTACAGGCACCTGCCACCATGCCCAGCTAATTTTTTTTGTATTTTTAGTAGAGACGGGATTTCACCATGTTTGCCAGGCTGGTTTTGAACCCCTGACCTCAAGTGATACGCCCACCTTGGCCTCCCAAAGTGCTGGGATTACAGGCATGAGCCACCACACTCAGCCATGGTTCAATTTTTATACAGCAAAATTCAAAAGTCTTAAGTGTGCAGCTCAATGAATTTCTGAATATGTATACATCTATGTAACCACCCAGATTAAGATACAAAATATTTCCAGAAATATGACTCCTTCCGGTCAATAATCCCTACAAGTAATCCTATCCTATCTTCTAAAAGTAAAGATTAACTCTGCCTGTTTTTGTTCGTTTGTTTGTTTGTTTTTTGAGATAGAGTCTCGCTTTGTTGCCAGGCTGGAATGCAGTGGCATGATCTTGGTTCACTGCAACCTCTGCCTCTGGGATTCAAGCAATTCTTCTGCCTCAGCCTCCCAAGTAGCTGGTACTACAGGTGCATGCCACCATGCCCAGCTAATTTTTGTATTTTCAGTAGAGACACGGTTTCACCATGTTGGCCAGGATGGTCTCCATCTCTTGACTTTGTGATCCACCTGCCTCGGCCTCCCAAAGTGCTGGGATTACAGGCTTGAGCCACCGCACCCAGCCTCTGCCTGTTTCTGAACCTCATATAAATGACATTATTCAGAATGTTTTCTTTTTTCTTTTCTTTTCTTTTTTTTTTTTCTTTTTTTTTTTTTTTTTTTTTTTTGTAGCTCAGGAATGGTATATAAGAGTATAAGAGTGTTCCGTTTCTGTGTGTGGTATTTTTTGCTCAGCACTATGTATGTGAAATTCACCCGTGTTGCATGTAGCAATAGGGTGTTTTTTTTTTTTTTTTTTGCTGTATAGTATTCCATTGTATGACTCTGGCACAATTTATTTATCCACTTTATGAATGGACACTTGAGTTGCTTTCAGTTTTGGCTAATATAGGAATAAAACTGATGAACATTATTGTCTACATCTTTTGGAAGAACTATGCAGTCATTCCCATTGGATATTTAGTTATAGATATCTGGGTTATAGACTATATGTTTTAGCAGATACTACTAAACAACTTTGCAGTGTTTGCACTAATATATGCTCCCACTTGCAACAGATGAGAATTCCAGTTGCTTCACATTCTTGCCAATATTGAGCAATGACAGCCTCTTTGAAGAGGGACAAGCATTCTGGAGGATATTTAGTGGCATCTCATTGTGGTTTTAATGTACATTTACCCGATGACTACTGATTTTTGTGCATCTTTTAAAATGCTTCTTGGAGCTGGGTGCAGTGGCGCACACCTGTAAGCCCAGCTACTCTGGAGGGTGAGGCAGGAGGATTGCTTGAGGCCAAGAGTTCAAGGCCAGGCTTTGCAACATAGCAAGATCCCATCTCTACAAAAAATTTAAAAATGAGCCACGCATGGTGATGCCCATCTGTAGTTCCAGCTACTCTGGAGGCTGAGGCAGGAGGATCACTTGAGCCCAGGAGTTTGAGGCTGCAGTGAGCTGTGATTGTGCCACTGTGTGCCAGCCTGGGTGACTGAGGTAGAGTTTATCTTAAAATAAAGTGAAATAGACTGGGTGTGGTGGCCCACGCCTGTAATCCCAGTAACTTTGGGAGGCCCAGGCTGGTGGATCACAAGGTCAGGAGATAGAGACCATCCTGGCCAACATGGTGAAACCTCATGTCTACTAAAAATACAAAAAAGTGAGCCAGGTGTGGTGGCGGGCGCCTGTAGTCCCAGCTACTCAGGAGGCTGAGGCAGGAGAATGGCTTGAACCTGGCAGGTGGAGCTTATAGTGAGCCGAGATTGCGCCACTGCACTGCAGCCTGGGTGAAAGAGCAAGACTCCATCTCTACAAAAATGAGCTGGGCATGGTGGTGCATGCCTGTAATCCTAGCTACTCCAGTGGCTGAGGCAGGAGACTCACTTGAGCCCAGGTAAAACAAATAAAATATTTATTGACACTTTGGGTATATTCTTTTCTGGAGTACCCATTGTCTTTTGCCAATTTAAAAAACTGGGTTTTTGGCCGGGCGCGGTGGCTCAAGCCTGTAATCCCAGCACTTTGGGAGGCCGAGACGGGCGGAGATCGAGACCATCCTGGCTAACATGGTGAAACCCCGTCTCTACTAAAAATACAAAAAACTAGCCGGGCGAGGTGGCGGGCGCCTGTAGTGCCAGCTACTCGGGAGGCTGAGGCAGGAGAATGGCGTAAACCCGGGAGGCGCAGCTCGCAGTGAGCTGAGATCCGGCTACTGCACTCCAGCCTGGGCGACAGAGCGAGACTCCGTCTCAAAAAACAAAAAACAAAAACAAAAAAAAACTGGGTTTCCTGATTTTGGCTTGTTGTTTTGTTTTTCAGAGTTTGTTTTTTGAGACGGAGTTTCACTCTTCTGCTCAGGCTGGAGTGCAGTGTGATGATCTCGGCTCACTGCAACCTCTGCCTCCGGTTTCAAGCGATTCTCCTCCTCAGCCTCCTGAGTAGCAGGGATTATAGGCGCCCACTACCACACCTGGCTAATTTTTGGATTTTTAGTGGAGATGGAGTTTCACCATGTTGGCCAGGCTGGTCTCGAACTCTTGACCTCGTGATCCACCTGCTTTGGCCTCCCAAAGTGCTGGGATTACAGGTGTGAACCACCGCACCCAGCCGCCTTCTTAGTCTCTTAATGATGTAATTTGATGACCTGAAATTTTGTTTTGTTTTGTTTTCTTCTTTTTGTTTTTTATTTTTTGAAACAGGGTGTCAGCTCTGTTGCCCAGACTGGAGTGCAGTGGCATGCTCACAGCTCACCATAGCCTCGACCTCCCAGACTCAAGTGATCCTCCCTCCTCAGCCCCTGAGTAGCTGGGACTACAGATGTACCACCACACCCAGCGAATTCTTTTTGTTTTTTGTAGAGACAGAGTCTCACTGTCTTGCCTAGCCTGGTCTCCAACTCCTGGGGTCATGCAATCCTCCCACTTAAGCCTCCCAAAGTGCTGGGATTACAGATATGAGCCACTGCACCCGGCCTATGGTTAGGTTTTGTGTGTGTTTTACTTAAGAAATCTTGCGGCTGGGTGCAGTGACTCAAGCCTGTAATCCTAGCACTTGGGAAGCCGAGGCAGGCAGATTGCCTGAGTTCAGGAGTTTGAGACCAGCTGGGCCAACATGGTGAAACCCCGTCTCTACTAAAAATACAAAAAATAGCCGGGTGTTGGGGGCAGATGCCTGTAATCCCCGCTACTAAGGAGTCTGAGGTAGGAGAATCACTTAAACCTAGGAGACAGAGGTTGCAGCGAGCTGAGATAGCACCAGTGCACTCTACTCTGGGCAACAGAGCGAGACTCAGTCTTAAAAAAAAAAGAAAGAAATCTTGCTTACTCCAAGGTGAGAAATTCTTTCTTCTGTAAGATATTGCTATGAAAGATATTGCCTTACTTTTCATATTTAGGTCCTGGGTTCATCTCAAATTATTTCGGTATATCAGACATAAGGTGGAGAATGACTGTGTTTTGTTTTGGTTTTTTTTTTGCTTTTTTTTTTTTTTTTTTAACTTAGGGGTATTGGATTGATCCAGCACCAGTAACTAAAAAGACCATCCTTTCTCCTCTTAACTGCAGGGGCACTTTTGCCATTAATTAGGTGACCACATATGTGTGGGCCTGTTTCTGGGCCCTATTCTGTTTCATCTGTCTATCCTTGCACCTTTAAAATAAGTCTTGATATTTGATCATGTAAGTCCTGAGGAAGAGGGTTTTTGTTGGTTTGTTTGTTTTGTTTTCAATCAGAGATATTTGAGCAAGGATCCAGTTGAGAGTGAGGAGTTGAATAAAAAAGAGAGAGAAGTCAGGCGTGGTGGCTCATGCTTTTAATCCCAGCTACCTGGGAGGCTGAGGTGGGAGGATGCTTGAGCCCAGGAGTTCAAGTCCAGCCTTAACCAGGGGGGTTGAGCAAGATCCTGTCTCAATATTAAAAAGAGAACGAGGTCATGTGGTGGCTTATGCCTGTAATCCCAGCACTTTTGGGATGTCGCGGGGGGCAGATCACTTGTGGTCGGGAGTTTCAGACCAGCCTGCCCACATGATGAAACCTCATTTCTACTAAAAATACAAAAATTAGCAGGGCATGGTGGCGGGCACCTATAATCCCAGCTACTCGGGAGGCCGAGGCAGGAAAATCACTTGAGCTAGGAGGCAGAGGTTGCAGTGAGCCAAGATCGCACCACTGCATTCCAGCCTAGGCAACAGAGTAAGATTCTGTCTTAAAAAAAAAAAAAAAAAGAGAGAGAGAGAGAGGGAGAAGATAATCTACATTTTAAGGTTTCTTAGAAGACAGTAGGAGCTGGGATCCAGGTGTTTGGGGAAGGATTGGCCCTAGGTACTCATCCGCTAATTCATTCAACATTAATGTGTCAGAACATTTATGTGCCAGACACAAGTATACAGCAGTTCTGGGATAGATGAGGTCCTTGTTCTCATGGAGCTCCCTTTCTAGTATTGAGAGAAAGGTAATAAACAAGTAAACAGATAACTCAGGCAGCAGTAAATGCCATGAAGAACAGGAACAGGATATTGTGATAGAGAGTAATGGAAGAATGTCCTAATTGGGAGTTAAGATCTGAAGATGGAGCCAGACTTTAAGAGCAGAGTGAAGAGCATCCCAGACACAGGGAACACACAATGCAAAGGCCCTTGGAGTGGTGAGAGCTTGTAGTGCTTGTGGGAAAAACAAAAGACCAGTGTAGGGCCAGGCACGGTGGCTCACGCCTGTAATCCCAGCACTTTGGGAGGCTGAGGTGAGCAGATCACTTGAGGTTAGGAGTTCGAGACCAACCTGACCAACATGAAGAAACCCCGTCTCTACTAAAAGTACAAAATTAGCCGGACATGGTGGGGCATCTCTGTAATCCCAGCTACTCAGGAGGCTGAGGCAGGAGAATCACTCAGACCTGAGAGGCGGAGGTTGCGGTGAGCTGAGATTGCACCATTGCACTCCAGCCTGGGCACAAGAGTGAAACTCCATCTCAAAAACAAAACAAAACAAAACAAAACAAACAAAAAAACAACAAACAACAACAACAAAAAACCAGTGTAGGGGAACACAGTAGAAAAGGGGGTGAGGAGCAGGGTAACTAAATGATATCAGAGAGGTAGAGAACAGACTTGCCCAGGGAGGGTATCCTTTAGGTTTGGGCTGAATGTGAATTTTTACATGCATGTGAGTTGGGTAGATTACTTGTGGGTGGTGGGACTGTGGGTATGTGCTGGAGGATTCATTTTGTCTCCTTCTTTTTGAAGCTGCTCTCATACCTGCCCTTTCTCCCTGCAGCCTCCTGAATGATGCCAGCCCAGTATGCTCTAACCTCCAGCCTGGCTCTCCTGGTGCTACTGGGCACAGCCAGAGCAGGCCCCTTCTCTTCGCGGTCCAATGTGACACTGCCAGCCCCCCGGCCCCCTCCCCAGCCAGGGGGCCGCACGGTGGGGGCAGGAGGGGGAAGGCCCTCTTCTCAGCTTTATGAGCACACAGTGGAAGGAGGGGAGAAGCAGGTGGTATTCACCCACCGCATTAACCTGCCCCCTTCCACTGGCTGTGGTTGTCCCCCAGGCACTGAGCCCCCAGTCCCTGCTTCAGAGGTGCAGGCCCTGAGGGTCCGGCTAGAGATCCTGGAGGAGTTGGTGAAGGGGCTCAAGGAACAGTGCACTGGGGGATGTTGTCCTACTGCTGCCCAGGCTGGCACAGGTGAGCAGGTCATCACAGAAGAGGGTGGAGAGGTGTGTTAGGGTGGGGTGGGCATTGCTAGTCCATAAAGGTCCGTATGAATTAGAAGAAGGCACTCCTGCCTCACCCTTAGGGGTGTGGATGCAGCACAGAACACAACTTGGAGAGCAGAGCTGGACTACATGTCAACTAAAGCATATGCGAGGGCCCTGAGAGGCTGCATACATTACACATATTAGCAACTGGAAGCAGACATGGCCTCATGAGATGAGGCTGGCCTGGCTAGGGGACCTGCACATAGGAGCACTATATAGTAGGTTCAGCCTCTCTCCCAGGAGAGAGACTGAGACCTGCCTCTCCCTCATACTCCAGGTCAGACAGATGTGCGGACCCTCTGCAGTCTCCATGGTGTGTTTGATCTGAGCCGCTGCACCTGTTCCTGTGAGCCAGGCTGGGGTGGGCCCACCTGCTCAGACCCCACAGATGCTGAGATTCCTCCCTCCTCCCCACCCTCAGCCTCGGGGTCCTGCCCAGATGACTGCAATGATCAGGGTCGCTGTGTCCGCGGTCGTTGCGTGTGCTTTCCCGGCTACACTGGCCCCAGCTGTGGCTGGCCATCCTGTCCCGGGGACTGCCAAGGCCGTGGGCGCTGCGTGCAGGGCGTGTGTGTGTGCCGGGCAGGTTTCTCAGGCCCCGACTGCAGCCAGCGCTCCTGCCCTCGGGGTTGCAGCCAGAGGGGACGATGTGAGGATGGGCGCTGCGTGTGTGATCCAGGCTACACTGGTGAGGACTGTGGCATGAGGAGCTGCCCTCGCGGTTGCAGTCAGAGGGGGCGCTGTGAGAATGGGCGCTGCGTGTGCAACCCTGGCTACACTGGCGAGGACTGTGGGGTGAGGAGCTGCCCTCGGGGCTGCAGCCAGAGGGGACGCTGCGAGGACGGGCGCTGCGTGTGTGACCCCGGCTACACTGGCGAGGACTGTGGTACGCGGAGCTGCCCCTGGGACTGTGGTGAGGGCGGGCGCTGCGTGGACGGCCGCTGCGTGTGCTGGCCCGGGTACACAGGCGAGGACTGCAGCACTCGGACATGTCCGAGGGACTGCCGGGGCCGCGGGCGCTGCGAGGACGGCGAATGCATTTGCGACACGGGCTACAGCGGGGACGATTGCGGCGTGCGCAGCTGCCCTGGCGACTGCAACCAAAGGGGCCGCTGTGAGGACGGCCGCTGCGTGTGCTGGCCAGGGTACACTGGACTCGACTGCGGCTCGCGCGCCTGCCCACGCGACTGTAGAGGTCGCGGGCGCTGCGAGAACGGCGTATGTGTTTGCAACGCGGGCTACAGCGGCGAGGACTGCGGTGTGCGCAGCTGTCCTGGAGACTGTCGTGGCCGGGGCCGCTGTGAGAGTGGCCGCTGCGTGTGTTGGCCAGGCTACACAGGCCGGGACTGTGGCACGCGCGCCTGTCCTGGCGACTGTCGCGGGCGCGGGCGCTGCGTGGATGGCCGCTGCGTGTGTAACCCGGGCTTCACCGGTGAGGACTGTGGGAGCCGTCGCTGTCCCGGGGACTGCCGTGGGCACGGCAGTTGCGAGGATGGCGTGTGCGTGTGTGACGCAGGCTACTCAGGGGAAGACTGCAGCACGCGCAGCTGCCCCGGGGGCTGCCGAGGCCGCGGCCAGTGCATAGATGGGCGCTGTGTGTGCGAGGACGGCTACTCTGGTGAGGATTGCAGTGTGAGGCGGTGCCCGAATGACTGCAGCCAGCACGGCGTGTGCCAGGACGGTGTGTGCATCTGTTGGGAAGCCTACGTGGGTGAGGACTGCAGCATCCGCACCTGCCCCTCCAACTGCCATGGGCGGGGCCGCTGTGAGGAGGGGCGCTGCCTGTGCGACCCAGGCTACACTGGCCCCACCTGTGCCACCCGCATGTGCCCGGCTGACTGCCGGGGACGTGGGCGCTGTGTGCAGGGAGTGTGCATGTGCCACGTGGGCTATGGCGGTGAGGACTGCGGGCAGGAAGAGCCTCCAGCCAGCGCCTGCCCTGGAGGCTGCGGGCCCCGGGAACTGTGCCAGGCAGGCCAGTGTGTGTGTGTAGAGGGCTTCCGAGGCCCTGACTGTGCCATCCAGACATGCCCAGGGGACTGCCGTGGCCGAGGAGAGTGTCACGATGGCAGCTGTGTCTGCAAAGATGGGTATGCTGGCGAAGACTGCGGGGAAGGTGAGCCTTCCCCAGTGTGCTCTGGGACTGTGATTCTGTGAACAGAAGCCATGGGGAAGATCTGAGCCTGAGGAAGAGTGGAGGGAGGGCATGTCATTCCGAGGAGCCAGTGTCCACCAGGGGCAGCAGAACCACAGGGGCGGGGCTCACCAGTGGGCAGGACTGGCCTTCAGATCTCTGAAGAGCAGGTTGGGGCCCATTTAGTTGGATTTAGGGAGATTCTGTGCTCCTGATGAAGAGGTGAAGGCGGCCAAGCCCCATTCAGCCCTCTGTCAGCTATTCTCCACTAGCAGAGAGGAGTGAGAGTTGGGATGGGCCTCTTGGATGTCCCTGAGTAAAAGGGGCTGTGGGTGGGGGTGGTTGCCTTGTGCTAACCAGCTTTTCCTATCCCATTCTCTTGGGCAGAGGTGCCAGCCATTGAGGGCATGAGGATGCATCTCTTGGAGGAGACAACAGTTCGGACAGAGTGGACCCCGGCTCCTGGCCCTGTGGATGCCTATGAAATTCAATTCATCCCCACGGTGAGAAAGATGCCAAGCTCCAGGAGGGGACTGAGTGAGCAGGATGGGCGGGGTGGGGGGGCGGGCAGGGCTTACCTCCTGGAGGAAGTTCCAGGTAATCATTGGTTGAGTCCAGATGGCTGGGTTCCTGAAGCTGCTGTAAAGGCTTTCTCAGCCTGCTTGACACTGGGCACTGAGGCCTCTGCAGCATCTCCAGCAAGCATTGGTTCCACACAGTTGGAACACTTGGTAACAGAGAGCTCAATACTTCCTGAGGCTGCCCAGTCCATTGTTGGTCATCACTGTTAGTTGTTGTCGTTGTTGCAGAATCCGTCTGCCCCCATTCTAGCACCTGTCCGTTGGCCCTAGCTGGGTAGTCATCAGCAGCTGGAATGTTTTTTGCTTTCCCTGTGTCCTACACCACAGGCCTTCAGGTATTTGCAGACACCAGCCTGGTGTCTCCATTCCTCAGGCAAAACCTCCCAGTTTCTTCACCCCTTTTCCCTAAGTCTTTGTTCTCTGAATATTTTACCTTCCTGTGACTCTTGCTTTTTTCATGTGCCCCCAAAATGTGGGGGCAGAGAGGGGCCCACTGGCTTACTCTGGATTTACGGACACTTTTCTCAGAATTGGCATATATTAACTTGTAGTCACACAAGCGGGTAGCTGTTTTGGTCATATTTGGTTTTTAAAGTAACTTTTAATTATAAAAGTAATACAGGCCCAGTGCAGAAAACTTAGAAAAAACTTAGAAAAAACTTAGAAAAAGCAGGGAAAAAAGATGGAAGGAAAGAAGACAACATTCAACTATATACACTTCTTTTTTTTCACCTAAATATAGGCCTTTGCATTTGGCCCTGTTCAATGTTATCTTTTTTGGTTTGGGCCAAGCTGTCTAGGCTGTTGCAACAATTTTGAGTCTGTGAACTTCATCTCCCACCTCCTTGTCATCAGCACATGCAAACCAGTTTTTTCTCTGTCTCCCTCCAACTTGCTCTTTTTTTTTTTTTTTTCTTGAGACAGAGTCTCGCTCTGTGGCCCAGGCTCGAGTGCAGTGGTGCCATCTCAGCTCACTGCAACCTCTGCATCCCAGGCTTAGGTCATCCTCTTACCTCAGCCTCCCAAGTAGCTGGGACTACACGTGTGCACCACCTTAGCTTACTAATGTTTGTATTTTTAGTAGAGACAGGGTTTCTCCATGTTGCATGCCCAGGCTGGTCCTGAACTCCTGGGCTCAAGTGATCTGCCCGCCTCAGCCTCCCAAAGTGCTGGGATTACAGGCATGAGCCACCACGCCCAGCCATCCAACTTGCTCTTAAAACATTAGAGGGAATACCCTAAGGACAAAGCCTTGTAGTCACTCATTTGGGACCTCTCTTTATGCAGATTGGGCTTTTAAGATATGGTCATTCCCCTAGCTCCAAATCTTCTGACATTTCTACCATCCAACTCATGTTTTCCTGCATCATCCCACAAATGCCATGGGGTGTGGGCCATGTCACCCTCATCTTCATCAGCTTAGCCAGGACTCTGTAAAAATAAACAACTCCCCGGACCTAAGGCCTCAGAAGGCACTAGGACAGAAGGGGACAGCTCAGAGGAACTGTCATCCTCACTCCACTTTGCTTTGTCTTGTCATTATGCTCCTCAGGCCAGCCCCCTACCACGTTCTGCCTGTCCTCACTCTCCAGCCAAAGCGGAAGCAGAAATCTCAACTTTGTGGCGCAACCAAGATAGCTTGAATTTTTTCTTCTGTTTAAACATCTTTTTTTGTTGTTGTTATTATAAAAATACTTTAATCACGAGACAAGAATTTGGCAACTAGAGAAAAGAAAAACAATTCCTGGCTGCTCCTCACTAAAACAAGCACTGCTAACATTTTCAAGTGTTTCTCCCACTCTCTTCTTCTCTGTGTATATTATTTACATAGCTCTAAGCTTGAAAGGGTGGGACTTTGAAAAGGAAGTTTCCTAAGAAACTTCAGGGAAAGAAGAATTAAAATAAACACTTGAGATAAGAGGAGCTTTTAGGGCAGCAGTTGTCTCCTGCTCTGAGTAAATAAACACAAACCCATCCTTGATGCTGTCAAGGGTGCCGCTTTCCAGTCGAAGCCCTAGGCTTTCTCCCTCACTCAGAGCCAGGGTGGCGGTGCCAAGTTGGCCTGTGCCAGGCTCGGCCATGTTCTTAGTTCATCCATTCTGCTCTCGGTATGGGCGTCTGTCACATTCTGGGTCTTCTCTGAGCCTGGGTGTGGAAGGCACTCCTGTAAAATTGGTCCCCAGACACTCCTCTTGGGCCTGGGCTACCGGCCCTCAGACCATGCTTTCTGCTCTCTGTAGCTGGCCCCTGGTATCGTACCTTCTGCCTTGGCAAGTGCCGTCTGTCTATTTCTTTTCTTTTCTTTTCTTTTTTTGAGATGGAGTTTCGCTCTTATTGCTCAGGCTGGAGTGCTGTGGAGCAATCTCGGCTCACTGCAGCCTCCGCTTCCCAGGTTCAAACGATTCTCCTGCCTCAGCCTCCTGAGTAGCTGGGATTACAGACACCTGCCACAACGCCCAGCTACCCTCTGTCCATTTCTGTGGGCACAGAGTATATTCAGTAGTTGTCTGTCCTCTGGCTGCTGCTGTCATCCTAGAAGCCTATCTCTACCTCTTCCCTTCCCTCTTCCCAGAAGTACTTCTCTCTCAAAGCCCAAACTCTGCTATTCCAGATCAAGGGACACACCTAGTTATTGAAATTATTTTTCAGAATGCAGGAGGAGGAGGTTTCTCCTCTCCCTGCATATGTGGCATTGTTACTGTGACTCAGTGGTTCTCAAAGTGGGTTCCCTGGACCTGCAGCATCAGCATCACCTGGGAGTATGTTAGGCAGGCAGATTGTCAGACTCCCCTCCCCAGATCTACTGAGTCAAAAAGTCTGGGCACAGAGCCCAGTAACCTGTATTGCAACAAGCCCTCCAGGTGATTCTGATGCCCCTCCAGCCTGAGGCCCACTAAGTGAAGGAATGTTGCTATTTCGCAAAGTGCTAGCCCCACTATGAATGTGAGAGAAAGCATGGGGAAACCGAGGGAGATGAGTTCCTGAATGAGAGAAAGGTTCAGATATTCCTTGTCTGGGTGTGTCCTGCAGCCTGGAAACCAAGGCTAGGCTGAGTGTTCACTGGGACTCAAAACCTTGCAGCCTCAGAGAAGTTTTTGCTTGGGTCTAGTCTAAAAACAGCGATGAGGGTGAGATAAGCTCCAAGGACCAGCCAAGGTAGAGTTCTTCATCTGCAGCCATGAGGTTAATATTGGGATAAGGTCTAAGACGTCCCAAGAACAAAATCAGTGAAGCAGGCCAGGTGCAGTGGCTCATGCCTGTAATCCCAGCACTTTGGGAGGCTAAGGTGGGTGGATCACCTGAGGTCAAGAGTTTGAGAACAGCCTGACCAACACAATGAAACCCCATCTCTACTAAAAATACAAAATTAGCCGGGCATGGTGGTACATGCCTGTAATCCAGCTACTTGGGAGGCTGAGGCAAGAGAATCCCTTGAATCTGGGAGGCAGAGGTTGCAGTGAGCTGAGATCACACCATTGCACTCCAGCCTGGGCAACAGGAGTGAAACTCCCTGTCAAAAAAAAAAAAAAAGAAAAAAGAAAAGAAAAAAGAAAGCCTGCTTCAGACCAGCAAGATGGTGCTAGGAGATGTGGGAGACATGGGTTAGGTTGATGGGCTTTTAGGGGACTGTTCCCAGATGGATCTCAGGAGGAACCAAGAAGTATCTAAAGGAGATATATATATATGTTGCTCTTGTGAGAGAAGAACTCTGGGGATAGGCTTGCCTCACTGAAAGAACCAGATATCATCAGGGAGCATCCAAGGTGTGTGTGTGTTGCAGCGGCAGGGATGGGGTGGGTGTGGATAAAGAGAAAGAGACACACACACACAGAGAAAATGAACAAATAAATTCTGGGAACGGTTAGGATTTCATGGGTCTTGAGTTGAGGCCAACCCAAGGCTTCCTAGCTGGGGTATTCTAGGGCAGGATGAATAGGAGAGGACTGGAGGTCCTGTGTGCCCAGGAAACCTTTTCAGCCCAGAAAACTGACAAAGCTTTACTTCATCCTCAACCCAGAAATCTCTACGTGGCCTTCTCATCTGGTTTTATACTTTGGTATTTACTATGTTGATTTCCCCACAGCTCTCTTGGTTTCGGAGAGTACCTTTTGAAATTTCCAATCCTACTTGGCTGAATGGAGGTGTCCCCATCACAGCCAACATAGCTAGGCAGAACACAGCGTCCTTAGCGGCTGTCCTAGCTGGACAGCACGGCAAAATGTGGGGCTGTTAGAATGCTCACAGATGTCCAGTTCCTCCTGTTTCCCAGCGGTGGGCACTCCAGGAGACCCTGCCTGGAGCAGGGTCCAGTAGATTTCCTTTGGGGCCACCACACATAATCATAATTCCTTAAATGTACCCTTGTAGGAGTGTTGTTTTCTCACGAGCATTTCCTAAGCATAGAGATTGTTTTAGTATTTCATATAGTCAAGATGTGGCCATACGTTTAGCTACTAGAGTCTGAGCTACCTGAGGACAGGGACCATATATTTTATTTTTGTGTCTCCAATGCCCAGCATGATGCCAGGTACAAAATCAACAATCAGGAAACATATTTGTGGAACTTTGAGCGGGTGGGTCTTGTTTTGAGGAGCCTACAACCCAGGTGAAGAGACAAGAAAAGTCCCTCAAGGGAAAGGTGGTGATGTGAGTCCCACTCCTATTACATAGCCATGAGCAGGCGTCTGCCGGCAGGTTCAGAGGGTGAGGCAGCCCCCTTAAGGAGAAAGTGCAGCTTGAAGGGCATCCTTGATCGACTTCATTTGTTCTGACAGGACCGAGCTTAGGAGAAGCCTCTCATGCCCAGGTAGTCAGAGTTGCCAGGGCAAAGCCGGAGGGAGAGTCCTAGTGCATGTTGGGTGGAATTCTGGCAGATGAACACGTGGTGCCCATGAGAGGGGACTCTGGCAGATGAGCAGGGGGTGCCCAGGAGAGGGGTCTCTGGGATCACACTGCCAGGGCCTAAATCCTTGCTGTTTTCTTGGTGTTGGTGACCTTGGCAAGATACTTGTCCTTCTGTGTCTCAGTTTCCTTATCTGTAAAATGGGACTAATAGGACCTGTTTTATAGGGTTGTTGGGAGAATTAAGTGAGTTCATGTATGTACATCACCTAGAACAGTGGCTCACAAGGAGTTAGCGCACTCGGCATGTTTGCTCCCCAGCTTGTACAGGGTCAAGTTCCACACAGTCCCATGTTGACACTGAGAACTGGAGAAAGAAGAGATAAGGGGGATTGAGCAGCAGAGGCGAGAGTGCCAGCCCCTAAGCCACCTGGTGCTGTCTCTCACAGACAGAGGGGGCGAGCCCCCCATTCACAGCACGGGTTCCAAGCTCTGCCTCAGCCTATGACCAGAGAGGACTGGCCCCTGGACAGGAGTACCAGGTCACTGTCCGAGCCCTTCGAGGGACCAGCTGGGGCCCTCCTGCCTCCAAGACCATCACCACCAGTGAGCGCTGGGGCTGTGGGGAGGGGTGTCCTGAGTGGAGATCTTGACTGGAGAGGGAATCTGCCCCCCGGGAGGGCAGAGGGAAGGGACTGGATGGGGGCTAGGCTCTTGGAAGGAAAGATGATGACTGAAGAACCAGACACCCGCCTGAGCCCTCCTTCTCTTTAACCTGGCTAGTGATCGATGGGCCCCAGGACCTCCGAGTGGTGGCTGTGACGCCGACAACACTGGAGCTTGGCTGGCTGCGTCCCCAGGCCGAGGTAGACCGATTTGTGGTGTCCTACGTCAGTGCCGGCAACCAGAGGGTGCGGCTGGAAGTGCCCCCTGAAGCAGACGGGACGCTGCTGACTGACCTGATGCCAGGCGTGGAATATGTGGTGACTGTCACAGCGGAGCGGGGCCGGGCAGTCAGCTACCCAGCTTCCGTCAGGGCCAACACAGGTATGGCTGGCCAGAGATTAGGGAAGGGCCCTGGTTTCCCAGCCTTGGATCCTCCTCCTCAGGAGCCCAGGCTCAGGGCTCACAGGCTCCTCTGAATGCATCTGGCAGGTGTGTGGCAGTCTCGAGGCACCTGCTGGGGGCCTTGCTCTGTCCTGAGGCCACTGGAGAGACAGAGCCCTCAGATGCCTGGAGTCCTGTAAGAAGGTTGCAGGTTAGCCTGTGAAAGGAACCGCCCCAGGGAGAGAAGTGAATAGGAGATGCTGCCTGATCCAGTCAGTTAAGGGAGGTTCTTACTTAAATTTAGTTACAGGGACAGGCCTTTTGCTGATAGATCTTGTGGGACTGGAATTAGGCAGATTAGAGATCATCAGTCCTGTTGACTTTAGGATTGGAATTGCTGGGAGGTGGGTCTCACAGCAGTGATTTTCCACTAAACCTCGAGGTTTCTTAACAGATACCTGGATATTTTTCTTTTCCTGTGACAGGGGGACACCCACCTCGCTGTAGCTCACGTTCTCTTCCCGGACTCCCCTTTCTCTCCTTCAGCTACAGGGCCCCACCCACGGGCTTCTCTCTTCTTTCTAGGGCACCAACAGTAGTGGGCTTGGAGGGGAATGGGGGGGGCTCCGGGACACTGACCGATTTCCCTCCGTTCTCTTTCCAGGTGGGGCTGGGGCACAGGGAAGAGGCCTCTGGCTCTGGTGGGAGGGATCGAGGGAGGGGCTGCCGGGGAGGAGTGCCGGAGGGAGCTGCCACTGACCTGTTCTCCTCCCCTTTTTCGCCCCTGGCAGCACCAGGCCACTACAGTTACCCGGAGGTGCGCCCCCCAGCCCCGCCCCCCAAGCCCCGGCCCCGGCCAGCCCCAGCCCCGCGGCCCCCACGGCCCCCTCGGCCCTCGAGGCCCGCAGAGGAAGGGGAGGAGGAGTCCTCGCCCAGGCCAAGCCTGTCCCAGCCCCCACGGCGGCCTTGGGGCAACCTGACGGCCGAGCTGAGCCGTTTCCGCGGCACGGTGCAGGACCTGGAGCGCCACCTGCGGGTTCACGGCTACCCACTGCGGGCCAACCAGACTTACACGTCGGTGGCGCGCCACATCCATGAATACTTGCAGCGGCGTCTGTTGGCCGCCGCCCCCGCCGGCTCCCCTTCACCCCTGACCCGCCACCCCCGCCCCACCGCCAGCCCTGACCCCGGCACCAGGAAACGGGACTCCAACCAGGGAATCTACGGCCTCTCGCCTGAAGGTGTCGACCGGGTGGCTGCGCCCCGCCACCCCAAGCCAGAGGTGCTGGGCAGTTCCGCCGATGGCGCGCTTCTCGTGTCTCTCGACGGGCTCCGCGGCCAATTCGAGCGCGTGGTGCTGCGCTGGCGGCCTCAACCGCCTGCAGAGGGCCCCGGCGGTGAGCTGACCGTGCCGGGCACCACGCGCACCGTCAGCCTGCCCGACCTCAGGCCCGGCACCACCTACCACGTGGAGGTCCACGGGGTGCGGGCGGGGCAGACCTCCAAGTCCTACGCCTTCATCACCACCACAGGTAGCGTGGGCTGGGGCCACGGGACACCCCATGCCTTGTCCAGCCTCACCTGCCGTTGGAGCCTGCATTCATGAGTTCCTCCTGCTGCCACTGGCACCCTTCTACCTTCGGGCGCTACCTGGCCGAGGCTCCAGGGAGCCCCAGGACAAAGCACGAGTCTAGTGTCCCTAGAAGACGTCCCCACCCCCAGGGTCCTGGCATCCATCCTGTGGATGCCTAAGGTCAAGGCAGCCCCTTCTTTGGGGTTCCTGGGACACTTCCAGGATTGCTATTTTAGGCAATAGAGGGGGATGTGGTTGGGGCGCCTGCAAAGGTTCACTGGAGCAGTTTGAGTGGGCTGGGAATTGAAAACAGTGATTCCCGTTCTGACTCACTGTGGTGAGAGTGGCTCAAGACTGTGGTCAGTGGTTACTGTTTTCCACAATTGGGCCTTGACCTTGAAGGGAAACATCAGAACTGCGTGGGGGTGGCCTGGGTGCCATGAGGCAGCACCTGTATGTCGGGGAGGTGAAACCACTGCTTCTTGATCTGGCTTTTCAGACCCTCTGGCTCACTTTATGCTGGTCTCTCCCACAGGAACGATGTCTGGGCTTGGGGAAAGGGCACCCTGTGGCTGCTGTGGGGTGGGTGGTGGACCTCTTCTTCCCCCATAGGGCCCAGATGCCACCTGACCTGGATGTCCACCCCCACGCCCTCTTTCTCTTCCCACTGCCCACTCTCCTCTTGCATCCTCCCTCTCTAACACCACTGTCTTTCTTCCAGGCTTCTCACTGCAGCACTAATGGAAGCCACCTGACCACCACCCAGTGGGGGGGATGTATGTGGGGAGGGACATGGAAGTCTCCAGGGGCTGGAGGTCATGGAAGCCTTGTGGGGTGAGGGACAGCAGGCTTTATTTTATTTATCACCTGCCTGAAGCGCAGGCCCATCTGCTCAGGAATGTGGTAGATGGGGGTGTTTGGAGGACTGGCTGAGCTTTGGGAGGAGGGAGTGGCCCAGGTGATGGAACCAGAAGTAGAAGAGGGTAGGGCCCCACGTCTCTTAAAGGCTAGAGGGCAGAACCTGGGGACTGGGGATTCCTTTCTAATTCTCATACTGGACTCTCCTCTTTTTCTCACCCTGCCCCTTCCCAGGGTCCTCACCCTCGGGCCTCTTGGGGACTACCGATGAGCCTCCTCCCTCAGGCCCCTCAACGACCCAAGGGGCCCAGGCTCCTCTCTTGCAGCAGCGCCCCCAGGAGCTGGGAGAGTTGAGGGTGCTGGGCAGAGATGAGACAGGGCGCCTCCGTGTGGTCTGGACCGCCCAGCCTGACACCTTTGCCCACTTCCAACTGCGCCTGCGGGTGCCCGAGGGGCCGGGGGCACATGAGGAAGTGCTGCCAGGGGACGTCCGCCAGGCTCTGGTGCCTCCACCCGCTCCTGGAGCCCCGTACGAGCTGTCACTTCGTGGGGTCCCTCCTGGGGGCAAGCCCTCTGACCCTGTCATCTACCAAGGCATTATGGGTACATATTTGACTCTGCTCAGATCAATATCCTGAGATTGGGGGAGGAACTGGGGCTATTGGGACTTCAGAGGTAGGATGGATATTGAGGGGCCAGTGAAGGGCAGAGCTGGTGTTTGGGGCTGGATAGAGGAGAAAAGGAGAGAAAAGGAATTGCAGGTTCAGCAGGAAGATGGATCGAGGAGGATCTCAGAACAATGATGAGGATAGGTGGGGAGAGGGGAAAGAGGCAGAGGTAAAAAGGCCAAGAGTGGAACAGAGATTCCAGAAGAGAGGCTGAAGGTCCCTGGCCCTCCACCTGCAGCTTTCCTTGCCCTTTCCCCTGCCCCTACTCTTCAGTTGCTCCTCTGCCCTGCCCTGCCCTGTAGATCTTTCAGGGTGGGCATGGTAAGGCCTCTGGACACTGACTCTTAGCTCCCAACACCTCATCCCTGAGAGCCTGGTTTGCAGTGGACAGCAGTCCGTGGTCCCATCAGCCAGTTTCTGCTGGGGGTGAAGGCTCCTTGGGGCAGAGGGCTCCACAGCCATCAGGACTTCAGACATGGATGAGGTTTGCAGGAGCAGCGAAAGACAGGTCCTGGTGTACCTGGCTTTCACACCCCCTCTTTGTTCCTCTCTGTGGGACCAGGGTGGCTGACTCCTCCCCCAGCTCCAGGTCAAGCTCAGAGAGGTTGGTAAGAGAGAAAGCAGCGCAGGTGGGCAGAGGAGCCTTCAGACTGCTCTGAAGCTGCAGTGGGGAGGCTTGAAACTCTCCTACAGAACCCAGGGGGGACCTGAAACCCCCCCAAAGATCCTGGGGTGCAGAGGGACCAAGACCCTGTGAGGAATGGATAAACTGTCATAAGGGAAGGAGCAGAGATTGAGAGGGAAATGCCTGTCTTCCAGGAGAGCTGATCACTGAGGGGTGGGGACATAGAGTCTTCCAGGGAGGGAGCTATCAAGGATGGAGTGAGGTGGGCAGGGGAGAGGGAAGGAGACACAGAAAAGAGAACAGTTGAGTCCACTATGCTTTGCTTTTGCCTCCCAAACTCCAGACAAGGATGAGGAGAAGCCTGGGAAGTCCTCAGGCCCACCACGCCTGGGTGAGCTGACGGTGACAGACAGGACCTCCGACTCCTTGCTCTTGCGCTGGACAGTCCCCGAGGGCGAGTTTGACTCCTTCGTGATCCAGTACAAAGACAGGGACGGGCAGCCCAAGGTGGTGCCCGTGGAGGGGCCCCAGCGCTCAGCTGTCATCACCTCCCTGGATCCTGGCCGCAAGTACAAATTTGTCCTGTATGGGTTCGTTGGCAAGAAGAGGCATGGTCCCCTGGTGACTGAAGCCAAGATCTGTGAGTGACAGCAGCAACACCCTGCCCTCTGTACTGCCCTGAAGGAGGTTTCCTCAGTGCTTTGGGAACCTGCTTTGGGAGGGAGCTCCAGGAAGGCTTCCTGGAGGCAGTGGTGCATGAGCTGCATTCTGAAGGGAAAGTAGTGGTGGGGCAGGCACAGAGTTTGAGAAGCTCAGTGCAGCCTGGGGGAGTCACGATGATTGAGGTGGAGAGAGCATGGCCAGTAAGAGAATCACTGTCACAGTTTCCTCTGGCTGGAGAACAGGGCATGTGGGGGTGCCAAAGGGCCTGGTCTCAGGGCTTCCTATGCTGTACTGAGGGGCTTGGGCCTCATTTGAAGGCCCCTAGAGGGCCTCTGAGGGTAAAGTGGGAGAGTGACGTGACTAGATATTTATCTTGCAAATAGCACGGTGACTGCTGAGACTAGCTGGAGAAGTGAGTTAAGAGCTGGTAAGGGCTGGCAGGGTTGATCCTGCCTATAATCCCAGCACCTTGGGAGGCCAAGGCAGGAGGATAGCTTGAGGCTAGGAGTTTGAGACCAACCTGGCAACATAGTGAGACCCCCCGTCTCTACTACGACAAAATATATTAGCCAGGTGTGGTGGTGCGTGCCTGTAGTCCCAGCTCCTTGAGAGACTGAGGTGGGAGGATCGCTTGAGCCCAGGAGACCGAGGCTGCAGTGAGCCATGATTGTGCTACTGTACTCCAGCCTGGGTGCTATCCACACTCTGCACAGAGCAACACCCTGTCTCAACAACAACAACAACAAAAAGACGATGGGTCAGTTGGGATGGTGGCACTGGGGCTGGATGTGGGAGGCAGAAAGCAAGGCGTACCAGGCAGCCCCCAGGGTTCTGGATGAGACAGTCCCATTCCCTGAGGCAGGGAGCAGCAGAGGTGGGGAATAATGCCTTAGATAAACTTAGATCAACATCTAAGGGACACTTACATAAATACCTTTTGTGCATTTATTGAGAGTCGATTGTGATCAAGATGTTCAAAGTGGATCATCGCACTCCATAAAGCACACCTGGGAGGCATACCTACTTTATAGGTCAGGAGATTGAGGCGCCAGAGTAGCAGTGTGGGGTTGGGGAAGAGACAGGGCCACTGGAACCCCGGGGACAGCCTATACTCACAGCGGAGGCAGAGGAAGAAGGGCCCACAGGGTAGCTTGAGGAGTGACTTGCAGGGAGGCGCAGAACCAGGGAGGGTGCTGTCCTGGGCTCCAGGAAGGAGGGCGTGGCTGGACTTGTCAGATTCCAGAACAGTGAATCAAGGGCTACGGAGTGTCCACAGGATTTAGCAATGGCAAGGCCACCACTGGCCTCTGTGAGAGCTACTGCCTGGTGGAGGGGTGAAGCTGGATCGTGAGGGTGGTGGAGGTGAGGACGTGGCTACAATCAGTGTAGACATAACTTTCTGGAATCTGGGCTGGGAATGAGAGCAAAGAGGGAAGATGGAGGCTGGAGAGAGATGCACACAGAATGGGGGTGGGGAGGGGTGTGACAGTAGCTTGTTGAAATGCTGATGGCACAGCTGCTGGGGAGTGAAGGGTCAGTGCTGCAGGTGAGGGAGTCCATCCATGGATCAAAGTTCCAAAGGAGGCAGAGGAGAGGCCTGCAGCATAGATGAGGGAGGCTGTCCCACATTAAAATACTTCAAGGATTGTGCTCTCCTCTCTTGGAGAAGAAGCCAGCTAGTAGTTAGGCTTGGAAGCAGTGGAGGTTGTACTGGGAAGATTTCCCTGGCTATGGAGATGTGAAAGGGCCTGGCTGGGCTCCCCTCTTTCTGAAGGTCCCTGCTGCTCCAGTTTGTGGTTGGAGGCAGAGCCACACTAGTCCACGCAGTGCTTCCATGCCGTTTGGAGGAAGGCACCCGTTCCTTTAAGTGGACACCACTCCTCACCAGGGCACACAGCTCGGCAAGCAGAGTGCTGGCTGGATTTCAGTCCCTTTGTACTCCCTCAGCAAATGCACTTTTGTACAGTGAACAAGCCTCACACAGCATTCCCATGTGGGATTTGGCTTCCTCGTTCTCCTTGGACCTAAGCCCCTCCCTTCTCTCTACCCGCTGTTCCTAGTGCCTCAGAGTGACCCACGTCCAGGGACTCCACCCCGTCTGGGAAACCTGTGGGTGACAGACCCTACCCCAGACTCACTGCACCTCTCCTGGACTGTCCCTGAGGGCCAGTTCGACACCTTCATGGTCCAGTACAGGGACAAGGATGGACGGCCCCAGGTGGTACCTGTGGAAGGGCCTGAGCGTTCATTTGTTGTCTCCTCACTGGACCCTGACCACAAGTACAGATTCACTCTGTTTGGAATCGCGAATAAGAAGCGGTATGGCCCCCTCACGGCCGATGGCACCACTGGTGAGTAACAGCCACCTCAGCCCCCATGTGACCCCTTTTTAGCCCTCTGCACACTTGCCTTCAGCCTGAAACCAGCTGGGGTCCCCCAGGAAGATAGCTGACTCCAGCTTCCTGGCCCCACTCCTGGCCTGAGGGGCAGCCAGGCTCCCCCGCACTGCTGGGCCCCTTCCATCCCAAGCAGCAGCTCCCCGAGGCCCAGAAGGTGTGTCATACCCTGGCTGTGTCAGGCTTCCCAGAAGTTTAGCACTCAAATTAATGGACTAGTGACCCTCCACCCCCCGTAGGTGTGACAGCCCGTCCAAACCCCAAGCCCCAGTCTCCCAGGCTGCCAGTTCAGCACCTGGCTGGATCTTCTTGTTTACAGCTCCAGAGAGGAAAGAGGAGCCCCCCCGCCCCGAGTACCTGGAGCAGCCCCTCCTGGGGGAACTGACAGTGACCGGTGTGACCCCAGACTCTTTGCGCCTCTCATGGACGGTGGCCCAGGGCCCCTTCGACTCGTTCATGGTCCAGTACAAAGATGCACAGGGGCAGCCCCAGGCAGTGCCTGTTGCGGGGGATGAGAATGAGGTTACCGTCCCCGGCCTGGATCCCGACCGGAAGTATAAGATGAACCTCTACGGGCTTCGTGGCAGGCAGCGTGTGGGGCCCGAGTCTGTGGTGGCCAAGACTGGTGAGTCATGGCTGCCAGGCCTCCCTCCCCTGCTAGCCCCATCCTGTGAGCAGGACTTGGCTGGGGCTCCTTCCAGCCTCCCTCCACCTTCGCCTTCTCAGCTCATTTTGCCAAAGCCTCCACCCACTTCCTCCCCCACTGCTCTCCTGTCCTCTGCATGCCAGGTCCCCGTCATCCAGCCTCCAGCTCCTCATCTCTTTCTCAGCCTCACTTCTTCATCTCCAAGGGCAGGTCCTATTTTCCCCCATTCCAAGCACCTGGACTCATCCTTCCACCTGGGGCTGTCCTCCCCACAGATGTCCTCACCATTCGGTCACTGTGTTCTCACCCCTCAGTTTTTACTGGGCTCCTTCATGGTCTGGTTTGGGCCATGGTCACTTCTGGGCTTCTGTCACCTGCTGCCCACACCCTCCTGCCATTTCTGCTGTATTCAGAGGTGGCAGATCCAAGTGACAAGAGCACCACATTTCTCTAGCCTTTCTCAGCATGAAGAGGACTCCTCCCAGCTCCCGACTCCTTGACTCCCAACCCGCTTGGAACAGGGCAAAGGGATTGCATTCAGCCCAGCATCCCAGCCTGTTCCTCCATGTCCCCAGTCTTTCCCTGTCTGGTGCCATTCCCCTAGCCTGTGAATTATTTGATGAGAGATAGTGTGGATAGTGGTTAGGAGCAAAGACTCCAGAGCCAACTGCCTGAGTCTCACTACCAGCCTTGCAACTTGCTTCCTGGAGGACCTTGTGCAAATTGCTTAACCTCTCTGTGCCTCAGCTTTCCCTTCTGTCAGGTGGGGATAATGGTTACCACTGCACAGAGCTGTTGGAATTACATGAGTTAATATACATATAACACTTAGGCTAGGCACGGGGCACGGTGTCTCATGCCTGTAATCCCAGCACTTTGGGAGGCCGAGGCAGGTGGATCACGAGATCAGGAGATCGAGACCATCCTGGCTAACATGGTGAAACCCTGTCTCCACTAAAAATATAAAAAATTAGCCAAGCATGGTGGCGGGCACCTGTAGTCCCAGCTACTCAGGAGGATGAGGCAGGAGAATGGCGTGAACCCGGGAGGCGGAGCTTGCAGTGAGCCGAGATGGCACCACTGCACTCCAGCCTGGGCAACAGAGCGACTTCATCTCAAAAAACAAAAACAAAAACAAACCACCCTCACACACTTAGAATAGTGCTTGGAGCAGCAAAGCATTTTCAGAGCGAGCTGCAATTTCTCCCTGACTCTCTCACTTCCCAGTAATCTTTTTTCCTCCCCACTTCCCTCCCTTCCTCTGGGTTGTCATTCTTGCCAATTCTTTCCTCAATCTGCTATCCCAAAGTAGTCCCCCATGTAGCGGGTCACAGAAGGGCTGGCTTCCCTTGTGCCACAGTCTCCCCACACCACGGAGCCTCAGCAGAGACCTAACTGCAGGGGGCGGGTAGGTGCCCACAGGGCTGTGATTCCAGAGCCAGCCAGGGAAGGGCACGGCCCTCCCTGGATCCCACTCACCCAGAATTTTTCTCCCACTCATGCCTGGAGCCCTGCCTTAGCAATTCATTCCTTGGGGTTAAAGGGGAGGGAGGGGCAGGGCTGCCTGGGGAGGCCACAGCAGGAGCACATTCCATAGTCAGATCCTCATATGAGGGGTGGGGCAGCCACAGTGCCCTGGGGAGGGTGCAGGTAGGAAGAGGCCTCACTGCCCTCCTCACTGTCTGAGGTCAGCACTGTCAGTGAACGTGGTTTGAAAGAACCCTCAGCGGCTTCCTCTCTTCCCATCTCAGCTCCTTTCTCAGACACGAAGGGAGACCCCTCACCCCCACAGAACCCACCAGAGCAGGATGGGGCAAGGGCTGCCTCAGCCCTTTCCATCTGTGAGTGACCCAATGGCGAATACAAAGGCTACAGAGCCCCTGAGCCCACAGCGTGAGGGCATTTCCATGGCTGTCCTCTGTGGGCAGCTGCAAAGCCAGCAGCTCTTCATGCCTCTGCCTCTTCTTTCAGCTCCTCAGGAGGATGTGGACGAGACCCCCAGCCCCACAGAACTGGGCACGGAGGCCCCGGAGTCCTCTGAGGAGCCGCTCCTGGGGGAGCTGACAGTGACAGGATCCTCCCCTGACTCGCTGAGCCTCTCCTGGACCGTCCCCCAGGGCCGCTTCGACTCCTTCACCGTGCAGTACAAAGACAGGGATGGGCGGCCCCAGGCGGTGCGTGTTGGGGGTGAGGAGAGTGAGGTCACCGTGGGGGGCCTGGAGCCCGGGCACAAGTACAAGATGCACCTGTACGGCCTCCACGAGGGACAGCGCGTGGGCCCGGTGTCTGCCGTGGGCGTGACAGGTGAGTAAGGGGCAGGGGCCTGCTTTGGTTCCCTCCCACTGCTGGCTTCCAGCTTCCCTATACCCAGTTGCTCTCCTTGCTCCAGTGGAACCTTGAGGCCACCTGCCAGGGGAAGACCTAGAAAGAGTATATCACTGGGGACTGGGGTACTACCAGCTTTCATGGCCCTGAGCAAGTTTTACATTTTCTGCTGGCCGGGCGCGGTGGCTCAAGCCTATAATCCCAGCACTTTGGGAGGCCGAGACGGGCGGATCACGAGGTCAGGAAATCAAGACCATCCTGGCTAACACGGTGAAACCCCGTCTCTACTAAAAAATACAAAAAAATAGCCGGGCGCGGTGGCAGGCGCCTGTAGTCCCAGCTACTCGGGAGGCTGAGGCAGGAGAATGGCGTAAACTCGGGCGACGGAGCTTGCAGTGAGCTGAGATCCGGCCACTGCACTCTAGCTTGGGCGACAGAGCGAGACTCCGTCTCAAAAAAAAAAAAATTTTCTGCGCCCCTGTTTTCTTGTCCGTAAAATGGAGACATCTACTTCACAGAGCTATTGTGAGGGTTAAGTGAGTTAACAGATGTAAAGCATCAAGAATGGACCTGGCAAAAGTAAATATGCTGCCAGTGTCTGCTGTGAGAATTGTTGTAAATATTCTTACTCTGGGGTCTGCTTTGTCCCCTTTGGCTAGTTCAGTTACTCGGTCAGAATGCACATGACTGTAAGGCCATACCACCCTGAAGGTGGCCTGTCATCTCCTCTGATCTCAGAAGCTAAGCAGGGTCAGGTCTGGTTAGTACTTAGATGGGAGAATGTGTATGAGACATTGGCCTCTTCATCAGTGCAGCTTGAAGCAAGCTTTCTCTTCTTTCTAGTCTTTTCTTTTTTTTTTTTTTTTTTTTTTTGAGACAGAGTCTCACTCTGTTGCCCAGCCTGGAATGCAGTGGCATGATCTCAGCCCACTGCAACCTCTGCATCCCAGGTTCAAGCGTTTCTCCTGCCTCGGCCTCCCAAGTAGCTGGGACTACAGATGCGTGCCACCACACCCCGTTACTTTTTTGTATTTTTAGTAGAGACGGGGTTCACCATGTTGACCAGACTGGTCTCAAACTCCAGATCCTCAAGTGATCCACCCACCTCAGCCTCCTAAAGTTCTGGTATTACAGGGGTGAGCCACCACACCTGACCACAAAGCTTTCTCTTTCTTCTTTCTTTCTTTTTTTTTTTTCTTGAGACTGAGTCTTACTCTGTTGCCCAGGTTGGAATGCAGTGATGCAGTCTTGGCTCACTGCAACCTCTGCCTCCCAGGTTCAAGTGATTCTCCTGCCTTAGCCTCCCGAGTAGCTGGGATTACAGGCACGCACCACCATGCCTGGTTAATTTTTGTATTTTTAATAGAGATGGGGTTTTACCATGTCAGCCGGGCTCATCTCAAACTCCTGACCTCAAGTGATCCACCCGCCTTGGCCTCCCGAAGTGTTGGGATTATAGGTGTGAGCCACCGCACCCGGCCACAAGTCTTTCTTTACTACTCATCCAGTGAGTGACTTTACAGCAAAGAAGAACATCCCTTCACCCTCTCTCTCAGGCCTGGTTACAGGGCCACATCCACCGCCACACGGGACCAGCCTGGGCACCTCCTCTCCAGGGCCTCAGCCCAAGAGGCTGAGTGGGCAGCAGTGCCTCTGGAACCCTCGGGCTGACCTGCCCGGTTTGGTAACAGTGAGGGGAATCTCTTTTTTTTTCCCTTTGCTCACAGAAACAAAGACACACCTTTCTCAAAAATAACTTTTACTATAAGGGGAATGATTAAAAAATTAAAAGTAGAGAAATAGATAGTTTTCCAGAACATGGTTTCTGTAATTCCACCAAGCTCAGCCTCATCATGACTTGGTTGATTTCATTTCCAGAACCTTCCACCCTCAATTTATTTTCTTTGCCTCAGTCAGCCCTGAGAAGAGGGAGAGGGCAAAACTACCCTGAGTGACTCTCCTTGGGGCCTGAGGTTGTAGGGTGGAGGCTGGTGCCAGACCCAGACATGCTGCCATGGCTGCTCCTGGAGTGACCCTCCCTCTGCCCCTCTGTCCCAGGGACCCACACTGGGCTCTGTGAGGCCCTGTACCTGGTCCCTGGAGTAAGGATGGGCTCCGCCAGGCACTGACTACTGAGGCGGTGCAGTAGAGATAAATGGAGTTTGGGAATCTGACAAACTGAGTCCTTCCTGTCTTCCTCTGTTCTCAGCTGAATGATTTTTTTTTTTTTTTTTTTAAGACAGAGTCTTGCTTTATCACCCAGGCTGGAGTGCAGTGGTGTGATCTCGGCTCACTGCAACCTCTGGTTCCCAGATTCAAGCAGTCCTCCTGCCTCAGCCCCCCGAGTAGCTGGGCTTACAGGCATGCGCCACCACACCCAGCTAATTTTTGTATTTTTAGTACAGACAGGGTTTCACCGTGTTAGCCAGGCTGGTCTCGAACTTCTGACCTCAGGTGATCCACCCACCTCGGCCTCCCAAAGTGCTGGGATTACAGGTGTGAGGCACCGTGCCCGGCCAGCTGTGTGATCTTGAAAAATTTACCTCCTCTCCTGGAACCTCAGCTTACTCATGTTCAGGAGGGAGTAAGCACCGCCCAGCTTGTTGTCACGATTAGAGGTGGTGATGTAACATGTCTGGCATCTTCTCAGCTCATTCGTCTTTTGCTCAGACCTTCCCGCGAGGGAATCCCTGTATATCCATGTTCTAATGCTGGATATTTTGAAACGTGTATTTTACACATCCTAGATAAAATAGATGAGGCCCTTTAGGAAAGAAATGGGCGTCAATGCACATTATCAGAGCAGCAAAGGGACGAAGCAGCTGGAGTCTGCCAAGCTGGAGGCTGTGCCTGGCAGCACACACAATGCAGTTGTCAGGGGGAGAGGTGCGTGGAGCTCATTAGACACACTTCTAAATTGGAAAAGGACTGTCCCACATGCAGCATGGGGACTACCAGAGTCATGAATCATTATAATTGCACCTTTCCAATTAGTCCAAACCACCAGCAATAAAACTTGATGGTGAAGGACATTTTCATTCCCTCATGGAAAGAAGTGCAAAGAGGGCAAAAAGGAGCAGGGAATGGGTGCTGCGGGAACAAGTAAGGTTAGAAGGCAAATGAAATGAGAGAAAATACCCAGCCTGGTACCTGTAAATAGCAGATGTTCAATACATGGTGGTCACTCTGCTCCCTCCCACCACCTCAGCTGCCTCCACACCGGCCCTCCCCTGCCTGACTCTTTTCTGTCTTCCTGAGGCCTGGTCACCAGCCTGTTTCAAGCAGGTGTCACTTGCCTGGAGCCTTGTCTTGTCCTCCCAAGGAAGCCAGAGAAACAAGTTCTTAGGAGCCCCACCCATCCAGTCACCTTCTCTGCCATTTTGCCTCTTGGGACTACCCTCTAGTTCACTGGCTAATGAGTGCTTCCTCATGCGGGAGTGGTGGGGATCTGCAGGTCCTGAGCCCAGACCTGCAGACCACTCATTATTTTACAGACATTTGTGGAGTACCTACTGTGTGCCAGGCACTGGGACACAGCAGTGAATTAGGCAAAGCTCCTGCCTGAGGGGCTCACATTCTAGTGGAGGGGGACAGGCAACAAATTGCACAAATATGTCAGTGGCACCGGATGTGACAGTGATCAGTAGTGGAGAAAAGCAGAGCCTAGTAGGGGGACAACGAGGGCCTCGCAGAGAGGGCAGTGTGTGAGGAAAGCCCTGAAGGAGGTGAGAGGACGGCCACCTAGGTATTTGGGGAAAGAGCATCCCAGACAGAAGGAAGAGCAAATGCAGAGACTGGCAGGCGGAAAGCAGCCCCAAATGTCTGCAGACAGTGAGGAATGCAGTGTGTTTTGGGGTGGAGTTGGAGGAGGGCAGGCAATAAGAATGATCTAAGAGATGAATACGGGACCTTAGAGGCCACTGCAGGACTTGGATTTCACCCTGAGTGAGATAGAAGCCACTGCAGGAACCAGCTCTGGCTAATGTGTTAACAGGATTCTTCTGGCTGCAGACCCAACAGACCAAAGGGGGGTGAGGGCAGAAGGCGGTGACCTGGGAGAATGTTGTGATAATCCAGGAGGAGACGGTGGTGCTTGGAGGTGGCAAGGAGGGGTCAGACTCTGAAGGTAGTGACAACAGGACGTACCCACAGGGCGGATGTGGAGTGTAAGAGGATTCGGGGATGACTCCGGGGGTTTTGATCTGAGCAGCTGGAAGAATGAAGTTGTAATCTTGGCTGGGTGTGGAGGCTTACGCCTGTAATCCCAGCACTTTGGGAGGCCGAGGCAGGCGGATCATCTGAGGTCGGGAGTTCGAGACCAACCTGACTAACATGGAGAAACCCCATCTCTACTGAAAATATAAAACTAGCTGGACATGGTGGCGCATGCCTGTAATCCCAGCTACTCGGGAGGCTGAGGCAGGAGAATCACTTGAGTTCGGGAGGCGGAGGTTATGGTGACCTACAAGCACGCCATTGCACTCCAGCCTGAGCAACAAGAGTGAAACTCTGTCTCAAAAAAAAAAAAAAAAAAAGGTTGTAATCTTACTGAGGTGGGGAGGCTGTGGCTGGAGCAGGTGTCGGGAAGCTTGGAGGCTCAGTTTTGCACTTGTTGAGTTTGACACACAAGTAGGCCTCCAAGGAAGACACTGCACAAACACTAGTCTGGGATTCAGGGGAGGTCTGGACAGAGAGTATAAATCTGGAGTCACTGGCATATAGATGGAATTTCAGCACTTTCCTAGGGTGTCAATGACAGCTGACACTCTTCTCCCCCAACAAGTGCAGCCTCAGACACCAGGCAGGGACCTAGTGAAGGACTGTTGACCAGACAGATGTTCAGATCAATGCACTTTTACATCAAAACCATCTTGCAGTTTCCACAAATGCAACAGACATCGCTGGGTGTGGTGACTCACACCTGTAATCCCGGCACTTTAGGGGCTGAGGCAGGTGGATCACCTGAGGTCAGGAGTTTGAGACCAGCCTGACCAACATGGCAAAACCCTGTCTCCACTAAAACTACACACACACACACAAAATTAACCAGGCAGGGTGGCGCACACCTGTAGTCCCAGCTACTTGGGAGGCTGAGGCAGGAGGATCGCTTGAACCGGGGAGGCAGAGGCTGCAGTGAGCCGAGGTTTCCCACTGCTCTGGGTGACAGTAAGACTCCATCTCAAAAAAAATAGCAAAAAATAACTAGACATCATTACTATAAGAAAAGGGGGGTTCTTTACTAACAGCCCCCTACCATCTCTGTCCCAGCCCCACAACAAGAAGAGACCCCTCCAGCCACCAAGCCCCCTCTGGAGCCACGCCTAGGAGAGCTGACAGTGACAGACGTGACCCCCAACTCTGTGGGCCTCTCCTGGACAGTCCCTGAGGGCCAGTTTGACTCCTTCATGGTCCAGTACAAAGACAAGGACGGGCAGCCTCAGGCGGTGCCGGTGGCTGCAGACCAGCAGGAGGTCACAATCTACAACCTGGAGCCTGAGAGAAAATACAAGATGAACATGTATGGACTACATGATGGGCAACGCGTGGGCCCCCTGTCTGTGGTCATCATGACGGGTGAGTAATGGGGGGACTCAGTCCCCATCTCTGGTTATCCAGAGCTCCCCACTCCATGGCCCTTCTCCCAGCCCTGCCTTGGTACCACCGCACCCTCACTGAGGGGCTGGATCCCCTCAGGCCCTGACTCGGTGACCCTGCCAGTCTTTCTGTTCCCTGACCCCTTTACTCCTCCCAGGGCTGGAACCTTCTCAGCCCTCCAGCTCCTTCCCCATCTCCACTCTGCCCCCCACCTAGGGGAATGTCTTCTTCCCATTTGGCCTAAATCCAGCCACAGACTTTCTCTCCCCCTCTCCAACTGCCCATAGCTGTTTCCACCCCTTCTCTTTACAACCCTGCTGTGACTTGGACACAGCTGCCACCTCCCACTTCTGGCCTTTTTTGTTGAGGCGAAGTGCTGCATATCCTGAGTCCCTTCTCAGGAGTCCTCTGCCACCTGCCTGCACTGCGTTCCATCCTGGCCCACGCGAGTTTTCGTCTCTCCAGGAGGCCGCCCTTGCTCTTGCTCCAGGCTCCTTCCTGCCCCTCATGGTTTCCTGGGCACAGGTTCTCCACAACTTTTGTGCTGTGGCATCTGGTGAAACCCCTATCCCGCCTCAAGGCAATGTTTTTAAATCTGTAAAATAAAATGTATAGGATTACAAAGGAAACAAATTATATTCATAGACAGTTATCAAAATACTTCTTTTTTATTTTTGAGACGGAGTTTCGCTCTTGTCACCCAGGCTGGAGTGCAATGGCGCGATCTCGACTCACTGCAACCTCCACTTCCCGGGTTCAAGCAATTCTCCTGCCTCAGCCTCCAGAGTAACTGGGATTACAGGCACGCACCACCACACCCAGCTAATTTTTTGTATTTTTAGTAGAGACAGGATTTCACCATGTCGGCCAGGCTGGTCTCAAATTCCTGACCTCAGGTGATCCGCCCACCTCGGCATCCCAAAGTGCCAGGTGTGAGCCACTGCACCTGGCCCAAAATATTTCTTAAAAATCCAAATTTATGATTTAGTAATACTTGAACTTATTGACTAGCTCATTAAATAACAGGACTTGGTGATGTGTTTACTAAACTACAAAATTTAGAAGCAGTGATGGATATAAAAGGTATTTTAAAGTTTCTGCAATAACTCTAAGGTGACGTGAAAACATCCGTGGTTTCTATTGGTAACAAAGTCGCAATAATTCTACTCTGGTTGGTTTTCTATATTAGTTTTTGAAAGAAATGCTGCATTTCAGTTAGAGGTCTGGAAATAAAGGTGTAACTATTCCCCATCTCAGTTCACAGCCCCCTTGAGGCCCTCAAAACCCAGGGGTTCTCCCCTCAGAGATCTCAACCATGTTCTTTGTCTTCCCAAATCCCAGCTCCCCTCCCACCAGCCCCAGCCACGGAGGCCTCCGAGCCTCCCCTGGAGCCACGCCTAGGGGAGCTGACAGTGACGGATGTCACCCCTGAGTCTGTGGGCCTCTCGTGGACAGTCCCTGAGGGTGAATTCGACTCCTTTGTGGTTCAGTACAAGGACAGGGACGGGCAGCCGCAGGTGGTGCCTGTGGCTGCAGACCAGCGGGAGGTCACCATCCCTGGCTTGGAACCCTCCCGCAAGTACAAGTTCCTGCTCTTTGGGATCCAGGACGGGAAACGACGCAGCCCAGTCTCTGTGGAGGCAAAGACGGGTGAGAGGGGCCCCCACACAGCTGAGCCTGAGGCCACAGCCTTCCCACCTTTCTCTTCCCTCCCTCTACTGAGTCTTGCCTTTGTCCACCTGCTCTGTCTCATTTGAAAAGCCACATGGTGCTAGTATGGTGACTCACGCCTGTAATCCCAGCACTTTGGGAGGTCGAGGCAGGTGGATCACTTGAGGTCAGGAGTTCGAGACCAGCCTGGCCAACATGGCAAAACCCTGTCTCTACTAAAAAGACAAAAATTAGCTGGGTGTGGTGACGGGCGCTAGTAATTCCAGCTACTCGGGAGTCTGAGACACAAGAATCACTTGAACCCGGGAGGTGGAGGCTACAGTGAACCAAGATTGTGCCATTGCACTCCAGCCTAGGTGATAGAGCGAGACTCTGTTTCCAAAAAGACCAAGAAAAAAAAAAAAAAGAAAGAAAAGCCACAAAGCAGATGAGGACCAGGAGACTGGGTCCAGTTCCTGGGTCTGCTCTCCACTGCTGACTCTGCCTCTCTTCTTGTAATTTCCACTGTTGTTGGATGAGGGAAGCCCCTGCAGGCCTCTTCCTGCAGGGTGGATGTGGGAGCCTGGGGGTGCTGGGAGAAGGGGCGAGGAGAGCCAGGAGCCCTTCCTGCCTTGCGAATCCATCACCTCCTGAGAGTCTTTGCTGTCTCCCCTACGACTCTCACCCAGGTTCTCAATCTCCTAGCTCAGGCCTGTCTGGGCCCATATGTGCCTCCTACAGAGGCTGTCCTTCCTTCTCTGCCCTCCTTCTGGAGCCTCAGAAATTGGGAACCAGAGGAGCCCAGCCCAGCTGTGCCCCTTTCCGAGGGTTCAATCCAGGCCCTCCCCTGCCCCTGGGGGCTCCCTGTTGCCAGAAAACTTGCAATAACAATGTCGTCAGCATCCTCACCGTCCAGGAAGGCAGCAGGCCAGCTCCTTCTCAAGCCCTGGGATGGCTCCTCGGGCAGACACTAGATCCCTTCCCTGCCTGAGCTCCCCAGCTTCATCCCCCTCAACATTCTCACAGGCAGCCCACGCTTCTTTACCAGGTCCCATGGGAGCCTTAGTTCTCCCGGGCCAGCCAGTGAGAATAAGAAAGGGAAAGGAGAAGGAGTGAGAGCTACCTGTGTCATATCATCCTGCCTCCCCCACCTGCTGTCTGCCCCCATCAGGGATCCTGTGCTCCTCGGGGCTGGCCAAATCACTCCTTTCCTCAGGGGCCAGCCAAGTCATGTGCTCCTGGGTAAGAGGAGATAGAGACCCAGTCTGCAAGCAGCTGCACCCTGCTGGGTGCTGGGGAAGCAGTCTGTGAGAGGTGGAAAGAGGCTGGACAGAAAGGGGAGTAAGACGAGGCAGGGAGCTAGGGAATCTCTTTTCCCGGAGGTGACTCAGGACAGGTGACCCTCCCAACTTGGGTCAAGGGGAGAGAGGCGTGGACCAGATGGAGATGGTGGTGAGGATGGGAGGTGATGGAAATATTTTGGGGAAGCACTGAGCATTTGGGCAGTTCTGGGTTTTTCCAGCCCCAGAGGGAGGCAGTCAAGGAGTCGTTCTGGAAAAAATAAACACAAGAACCTTTCCTCTCCATCAGCTGCCCGAGGTGACGCCAGCCCAGGGGCCCCACCTCGCCTTGGGGAGCTGTGGGTGACAGACCCCACCCCAGACTCACTGCACCTCTCCTGGACGGTCCCTGAGGGCCAGTTCGACTCTTTTGTGGTCCAGTTCAAGGACAAAGACGGGCCCCAGGTGGTGCCCGTGGAGGGCCACGAGCGCTCTGTCACCATCGCCCCTCTGGACGCCGGCCGCAAGTACAGATTCCTCCTCTATGGCCTCCTGGGCAAGAAGCGCCATGGCCCCCTCACTGCCGACGGCACCACGGGTGAGGGGCATTCCCTGCAGGTCCCTGCTCTGCTCCCCTCAGGCCAAGCAGCAGATGATCACTTGTGGTGGCTGCCATTACCATTATTTGGCCCCAGCCACTCGGCTCAGATCCAGCTCCCCACGTCCCTGCACAAGCCCCTAGCACAGCCCAGCAGGACTCAACCACGCAAAGCCCTGTCTCCAGACCTCTCGATCCTGCCCTTCGAGGTCACCCAGGCTTCCAGAAACAGCTCAGCCGTTTCCTCTCCGTGTCTCCATCTCAGAGGCCCGGAGTGCTATGGACGATACTGGAACAAAGCGTCCCCCAAAACCCCGTCTGGGGGAGGAGCTGCAGGTGACCAGCGTGACCCAGAACTCCGTGGGCCTCTCCTGGACAGTCCCTGAGGGCCAATTTGACTCCTTTGTGGTCCAGTACAAGGACAGGGACGGGCAGCCCCAGGTGGTGCCCGTGGAGGGCAGCCTCAGGGAGGTCAGCGTGCCGGGCCTGGACCCTGCCCACAGGTACAAGCTGCTGCTCTATGGCCTGCACAGCGGCAAGCGTGTGGGCCCCATCTCAGCCGTCGCCATAACTGGTGAGTGTGCGGCAGCTGGAACACCTATGCCTCCTTCCCGCCTGGCTCTCCAAGTCTGACTGAGCCATAAGATCTCTGAACTTCCCATTTTATATCATTTCCATTGATCCAGAAAGTTTCCTTGTGCCGCTTTAGAGTCCACTGCCCTAGCCCCAGCCGCCAGCAACCACTGTCTGCTTTCAGTCATTCTGGAGACAGCATTTTGGCTTTCTGTGTAATGGAATCACAATACGCAGTCTCCTGTGTTTCGTTTATTGCACGTAGCACAATGCTTTTGAAATTCACCCACGTGCAGCAAAAGCTGGTCTTTCGATTGTTGATGCTTGCCCTCGCTCCCTCTCCTCCCTCACTTCTCCTGAGAGTCTGGGTGCAGCAACAGACCAGCCATCTGTCTCTACCTGTCTCTGTGAACCAGCCCGCAGGGAAGACACGGAAACTGAGACCACGGCCCCGACCCCTCCAGCGCCTGAGCCCCGCCTCGGGGAGCTGACAGTGAAGGAGGCCACGCCACACACCCTGCATCTCTCCTGGATGGTGACTGAGGGAGAATTTGACTCCTTCGAAATCCAGCACACAGATAGAGAAGGGCAACTCCAAACGGTCCGTACAGGAGGTGACCAGAATGACATCACCCTCTCTGGCCTGGAATCCGACCACAGATACGTGGTGACCCTGTATGGTTTCCGCGATGGGAAGCATGTGGGTCCTGTCCATGTCGAGGCCCTGACAGGTGAGAACTCTGCCCACTGTGCCTCCTTTCAGATGGTGGGAGAGTCCAGAGGAGAGCAGAGTCCCGCAGATACCCTGCCCACCTCAGTCCTCTCTTTCCATGTCTCTGTCCAGTCCCGGAGGAGGAGGAGCCTTCGGAACCTCCCACCGCAACCTCCGAGCCCCCCATCACACCTCACCTGGGGGAGCTGACTGTGACAGACGCCACCCCCGACTCCCTCAGCCTGTCCTGGACAGTTCCTGAGGGCCAGTTTGACCACTTCCTGGTCCAGTACAGGAACGGAGACGGGCGGCCCAAGGCTGTGCGGGTGCCAGGGCATGAGGATGGGGTCACCATCTCGGGCCTGGAGCCAGACCACAAATACAAGATGAACCTGTACGGTTTCCACGGTGGCCAGCGCATGGGCCCTGTGTCTGCAATCGGGGTGACGGGTGAGTGAACAGTGGGAGCCACAGGGTGGGTGCTGTGGGAGGGCCACCCTCTTGCTCTTTGGTGATGACTGGTGGGGAATGTGACAGGGGTCTGGTCAGCACCACAGACTTGCTTGTGGCTGGGGCTGGGGCTCCCCTTGGACCTTCCTGTGAGGTTGACCCCTGGCTCCTCCTGAGCGGAGAGGCGCCGTCGGGAGCTTTGCTGTGCTGGTGGCTGTCCCAGGTCCCCCACAGCTGACCCTGGAACTTGTCATGTGTCAACTGATCAGGACCACCCAGCCCCAAGAATGGGCTTCTCTGAAATGACCTCAGGTCCCCCAGTCATAACCTTGGGTTCTCCCTCCTTTTCCCCAAGTCCCAAGGACATCCCCCAGGGACCCTGCCTCACTCTCTCTGTGTCCTTTTTTCTCAGCTGCAGAGGAAGAGACCCCCAGCCCCACAGAACCCAGCACGGAGGCCCCGGAGCCCCCCGAGGAGCCGCTCCTGGGGGAGCTGACAGTGACAGGATCCTCCCCTGACTCGCTGAGCCTCTCCTGGACCGTCCCCCAGGGCCGCTTCGACTCCTTCACCGTGCAGTACAAGGACAGGGACGGGCGGCCCCAGGTGGTGCGTGTCGGGGGCGAGGAGAGTGAGGTCACCGTGGGGGGCCTGGAGCCCGGGCACAAGTACAAGATGCACCTGTACGGCCTCCACGAGGGGCGGCGTGTGGGCCCGGTGTCCGCTGTGGGCGTCACGGGTGAGTGTGCGCTGCAGAGCCCTCTGGGTTGGGTCTTAGGAAAGTGCAGCCTCCAGCATCTCTTCCACTAGGGACCCAGGATCCCAAGACCTCAAACCTATAATGCACCCTGTTCGCTAAAGCCTCAGGATGGGTGTGATCTGGGGACTGAGAGAGCAAATCCAGGAGAAGTGCCAGCCATGTGGGAGAGGCTCCCGGGGACTGAGGCCTCTCGGGAGGTGATTCACTGGCTGGTTTGTGGCTCTGCTTTTCCTTGGAGCTCTAGAGAGAACTCTTTTTGTGGGATTGGAACACATTTTTGAAATACAAATTAATTAAATTAAAAGTATTTGTTAAATAAAATTTCAAATGTGTAAATAGAAAGAATAGTACAAAGACTTCAGGTACCCATCACCCTGCCACCCTCCTTCAATCAAATATCAACTTCTGGCCAGTCTGACTCATCTCTGCCCCACTCATGTCCTCCACTAGAATCACTAGAATGTTTTTCTTTCTTTCTTTCTTTCTCTCTCTCTCTCTCTCTCCCCCCCCCACCTCTCCCTCTCCCTCTCTCTCCCTCTCTCCCTCTCTCCCTCTCTCCCTCTCCTTCTTTCTTTCTTTCTTCCTTTCTTTTGACAAGGTCTCACTCTGTCACCCAGGCTGGAGTCTACTGGCACAATGACAATTCACTGCACTGCAGCCTCAACCTCCCGGGCTTAAGGGATCCTCCCACTTCAGCCTCCCAAATAGCTGGGACTACAAGCGCACTCCATCATGCCCAGCTAATTTTTTGTGTTTTTTGTAGAGACAGGGTTTAGCCATGTTGCCCAGGCCAGTCTTGAACTCCTGGGCTCAAGTGATCCTCCCACCTCAGCCAAAGTGATGGGATTCCAGGAGTGAGCCGCCACACCCGGCCTGAATGTTTTCTTTATTAACACCTTCATTGAGATATAATTCATGTGGCATAAAACACACTTGTTTTAAGTGTACAGCTTACTGATTTTAGTATCTTTACCTACTTGTGCAGCCATCACCACAATCTAATTTTAGAACTTTTCCATCACCCCCAAAAGAAATCTTGGGTCCAGACCCATTCCTATCTCAGCCCTAGTTTATAACCAATCTAATTTTTTCTCTGTAGATTGCTTTTTCAGGACATTTCGTATAAATGGAATCACACAATATGTATCCATTTGTGTCTGGCTTCTTTCACTGAGCATAATGTTTTTGAGGTTCATCGATGTAGCATGTAGAAGTACTACATTTACTACATTGCTATTGATTGATTGATTGATTTTTTTTTTTTTTTAGACAAATTCTCACTCTATTGCCAAGGCTACAGTGCAGTGGCATGATCATAGCTCACTGCAGCCCCAAAATCCTGGGCTCAAGCCATCTCAGCCCCCCAAGTAGCTGGGACCACAGGTGCTTGCCACCACACTCAGCTAATTTTTAAAATTTTTTTGTAGAGATGAGGTCTTACAGTGCTACCCAGGCTGATACCAAACTCCTGGCTTCAAGGAATCCTCCTGCCTGGGCCTTACAAAGTGCTGAGATAACAGGCATGAGCCACCTGCTCTCAGTCACTACATTGCTTTTTATTGCCAAACAGTATTGCATTGTATGGTTATACTACTGCAATATTTTAAAACGAACCACAGACACCCTATCCTTTCATCACTAAATATTTAAAGGTATATCTCTTTTTTGAAAAATTATTTTTCAAAAATCCACAATACAGCCAGGTGAGGTGGTTCATGCCTGATCCCAGCACTTTGGGCGGCCAAGGCAGGTGGATCACTTGAGGTAAAGAGTTTGAGACCAGCCTGACCAACATGGTGAAACCCCATCTCTACTAAAAAAGAAAAAAAAAATACAAAAAAGCAGAGCGTGGTGGCACGTGCCTATAGTCCCAGCTACTTGGGGGGCTTGAGGCACAAGAAATTGCTTGAACCCAGGAGGTGGAGGTTGCAGTGAGCCAAGATCGTGCCCCTGCACTCCAGCCTGGGTGACAGAGCGAGACTCTGTGTCAATAAATAAATAAATAAATAAATAATAAAATTCCACAATACAATTAGCATACCTTGATAAATGAACAATCATGCCTTGATATCACGTATCCAGGTAGTGCTGCAGTCTCCTGAGTGTCTCATAACTATTCTTTTCCAATTCGTTGCTGAAATTAGGTCTATAGAAGGAGGATACATTGCAATTGAGAAAACTGAAATGTTAAGTAGCGCAGTCAGAGAAGGCCCAGAAGAAGGTGGCTTTTGAAAAAGACTTAAAGGAACGGTGGGGATGAGCCATGAAGATATCTGGGGAAAGAACATTTAGGTGGAGGGAACAGTCACTGCAAAAGTGCTGAGGTAGGAGGCTGCCTGGCATGTTTGAGGGACCGTAAGGAAGCCACAAAAGACTGTAACGATCATAATCAGAAATTGATCTTCAGTTAGGCCCAGACTGGGCCCACCTTCTGACCTGAGTTCAAGCAGCTGGGGCCTCAACAGCTCCTTCCAGCAACCGAAAAGATTCTGTTTCTATCTCTTCCCAGCCCCCAAAGAGGAGTCCCCTGATGCTCCTCTTGTGAAGCCGCGCCTAGGGGAGATGACAGTGAGAGACGCCACCCCCGACTCCCTCAGCCTGTCCTGGACAGTCCCCGAGGGCCAGTTTGACCATTTCTTGGTCCAGTACAAGAATGGGGACGGGCAGCCCAAGGCGGTGCGGGTGCCAGGACACGAGGACGGGGTCACTATCTCGGGCCTGGAGCCAGACCACAAGTATAAGATGAACCTGTATGGCTTCCATGGTGGCCAGCGCATGGGCCCTGTGTCTGCTGTTGGTTTAACTGGTGAGTGTGCAGTAGGGCACTGGGCCCTGCCCTGAACTAGACTCAGTTTCCCCTTTATTGTCAGTATCTGGTGGCTTTATTTTACTTTCCCTGAACCTCCAAGCTCCTGGGAATGGTTCTGCTGGTGCCTTCACTCCAAGCCTTTGGTATTGTCCCAGGTCTTCTACCCTTTACACATGGGCTTTTTGGGTTCTCAAAGAGGTGGGGGACCAGGAAAATAACACAGACTGAGGTACACCTGGGGTTGACCATAGCCTCAGCCCATTTGAGCTGTGTGACCTCAAGAGAATCACATAACCTGTCTGGGCACGGTGACTCACGCCTGTAATCCCAGCACTTTGGGAGGCTGAAGGGGGCAGATCACCTGAGGTCAGGAGTTTGAGACCAGCCTGGCCAACATCGTGAAACCCCCATCTCTACTAAAAATACAAAAATTAGCTGGGTGTGGTGACACATGCCTGTAGTCCCATCTACTTGTGCCCTCGCTCTGTGGCCCGTGGCGTGTCCTGCCCTCGCTCTGTGCCCCGTGGCTGTGGCCCA